CCCGATTTTTCCCGGCGTATACACCAAGACCCTTGCTATAAGGATAACCTCGGTAATATCCTTGCGAAACTTGCCCCCACGAATATCCTTATATCCAAGTTTTTCTTTAAATCTGATTAGCTTAGGGCACTATATTCTGGTGTTATACTCTTCCTATATTACCTCCTTTACAGGGATGGCGACACGAGCTAGCAGGTCCCTTTATACTAAAGAACTTACTATAATATAGGGATATTCCTACCGAGCATATTCTTAGACCGAGTTTCGCTTATGCGCAATTCGTGACAATTAATAAGAATGTCTCACTTCAATTGTTCGCCGTCTGGTAATAGTTAGTACGTCTTTCCTCTGCACTGTCACTAGAGGTCAGTGGAAGCAAGTGCACTATGTCGCGAGGATATCCCGTATATGGAAAAACGCGCGTAAACCATATCTTGACTTAACAACTATAACTTGTAACCCTTCAGACCACCATATACTTTTAGGCTCTGTGTACCCAGAAAATATCGTCGAAAATATCGTCCCACTTTATTATATACGTGTACCGTAGGTCCTTGATCCACACTATATCCACACTATAATCTACAATAACCGAGGAGTAAGCGAGGACTCTGCTTCAGGCTAGGTACGCCATAACTATAGGCTATTGTGTCCTCTATTAGGGTATTAAAACCCTAGGTCTTTATAGCACGTCTATATAAGCTAGTGTGCTCGATAGGAAATTATCGCTTTAGTCCCTAATATCTAGAAATAAAATTTAAATTTAAACATTCTTATTATATTAGAGCGGGACTTGTATAGACAAAGCTTAGGGGTAGAAAATAGGGCCTAGGTAATACGGATAGTATACGTTTGTATACGTTTGTGTCCGTTTCAGGACGATATAAAGGACGATATGTTAGTCGCGACCAACAAATCGACTTTACCACCAAAGACGATTTAGCGTAATATCCTGTAGGCCCCTAGTAGGTCTAAAAAAGTGATCTACATTGTCTGTACGTGGACGGATTTCAAAGGTGTCGGAGGAGTCCAAATGCGGCCAGTTTCAGGGAAAAGTGGGACGATATTAGGGTGATATTTTCTGAGTACACAGAGCCTTAGCTAGTAATGTCTCAAGCGACAGCGCAGAGGAAAGACGCACTGACTATTACATCCGAGTCATGTTGAGAATATAAATTCAGGTGAAGAGGGCGGACGCATCGGACAATCAACCCCAAATACGGAACTGATATAGGTGCAGTAACTTAAGGGTGGGACAGCTAAGAGATACCATTGTTCTGTAGTTGGGGTGGATTGTCCGATGCGTCCGCCCTCTTTGCGCAGAGCGAGCAAGCATTTTATGTATACAAGGGACGACCCTTCCGACTAAGAGTGATGTCCATATCTCAATCTCATCTCACTTACTACCTCATCAGTCTCCAACAACATACCAATACACCGACAATCCAATCTGATCCATCAACATGCTCTTCTTTAAGAAACTCATCACTGTCCTTACGACCTTGCTTCTAGGAGCTGTGACTGTCTAAGCCCAGGGGGCCGGATGCCGAGTCGAAGACAGATATTGTACCGGCGGCAGAACCAACTGCGGGGATGCTGGTGGTTATGGTTTTAGATGCTGCAGATAATGTTAGAGGCTTGAAAACTTGCATTCAGAGCAGGATTTCATTCGAGAGGTTGGGCGGAGTGGGAGTATGAAACCGGAAGCACGAGGGTGGTTATCGCTTCCATACTCCAAAGAGGCCAAAACGATGTACACTCCTGAGTGGATATATGTGGATGCGAAAACTGGGCCAAGTTAGGGTTCAAATGCTTGGAAACGTGGCCTGGTTGACCAAAAAACGACTTTTTTTTACGAGGAAAATGTGGTTAAATTGAACACCTTTACTCCACAGTGGGTGTACGTTTCTTTAGCCCATTTGAAGTCTGGAAGGGATATGGACTATTGACCAAATTCTGGTAATCAGTCGGGACTGGGTAGCCCAGTGGAACGCAAATTGACACTATACCCCATCTATTATCTGGCAGTGATTGTGTAGAAAGTATTGTTTACGTGCTGGTTGACTTGCTTGTTTGAACGATTTTTTTCATTGTGTTAAAGCCTTCCCCCGCTCTCCCTTTACCTCTTTTGCACCCTCGGCCTCTGTAATGCTACCTGTCTCTCTACCTGACGCCCTTCACTCTCCCTTTACTATCAGTAAGCCCTCTGACCCCCATTACATCCACCCCTCTTATTTGATGTAAGTACGTAAATCTCTGTTGGCAATAATTTTAGTATTTGGATATGTGTAGAAATATGCATAGAAACAAGTATACATATATGTACTTTTTGTCTCATTTTGGTCATTGTTTATATAGGCCCGGGTGTCCATGTGTATGGACAAAAAGTGTACAATTATGGACAAAAGTTCCATCATGATAGACACCTGGGTACACATACTTATGTGTCTGTGCTCTTGAAGGGCCTAACACAAATTAGCATAGTCCTAGTATACCACATGTAAGGAAGAAGGATTATCTGTACCTAGCATCTATCACAAGAAGTTTCTCCAACTGTAGTACTTCTCCAGCATTGAAGTATGAAGAAATTTATTGTCAGGCCATTAGTAGCCAAGAATAATATCCAAGCATCATGCCTCATACTTCGCTTGCAACAAACTTCTTTACAGAATTTCTGGGTTGGCACTTCATGTGGAACTTGGAAGATATCTGAACGTATTCTAAGTATTGAATAGAACGTTTCCCTTGCACTTTGTTAAATGAGTGTCAATCCATGATCACCAACTGAGAATACAAAAGACACGTGAGATTTTTGCATTGAGAAAGTAGATAACCACACGAAGCGACGACAGCTTATAATATCTGTTGCTACACAGTTATGCAATCATTTTATTCCCTCCAGTGAAGAAAGTCAGCCAGGATTATCTCCCTCAATCGCAAGCTAACTTTAGGGTCTCCCTAACTATTCACTTCTACCAAACAAATTCAGATGAATTCTAAATGGCTCAATTGAAGATTGACTCAAAGTGATTGTCGTGTTCTGATAGCTGTTCTTTTGGTTTCTAATCACAACCATAATCTGCACCACTAAAAGTACTAGCTAGTGCAGTACATTCACAATCTTAGTTATTCACTTGCCTCTCAGTACACCTATAAATACCCTGTTTTCAACCACACCCAGGTTCTCTTGTCCTTTACAACACTACAATTTAGATAATTCCATACACTTCAAAGCTATCACAAGATGCCCTCTCACCAAAAAGACAGCCGCAAAAAAAGAAGCTCCAGCAAATCCAAACATCAGATACCCTTATGCTTCTTCTCTAAGTATTGCGGCTGTACCAATCCGTCACGAGAAAAAGACCGCTACACTTCCTGTGATAGTTGTTTTAAAAAGGTATGCCAAATCCATAAATCCATGAGTTCTAAAATAAAGAAATACTAAATGGAAGAGGACTATCGAGCCCCTGGTGATTACTCCACAGCGATTGCAACAACTATTGGGAGAGAATACTGACTGCCTCAGCAAGGAAACTTCTGGTGCTATCATAGATATGGGGCCTTGAAATGCAGACAACGAACCACCATAAAGGAAACTTCTTGCGACAGCTGTTATCGAAATGTTCGTCTAGCTTTCTTAAATATTGAAGACTTTGCTGATTGGAAACAAAGCCAGAAATAGAATTATCTCCGAGGGATAAAGAAATCAATCAAATGTCAGACGATCGTCTATGGACCGACCCCTGAGACAAATACAAAGACCTATGTTGTTATTTAATGTGGGGCTGTCAATATACGTCAAGGACGAAGAACTTCCCTTGCGTTCGATGCTATAGCAAAGTAAGGGAAACTCCTTCTGGGAAGACTTGATAAATTAACTTTTTTCAAAGGGTACACATTGCTAACTTCTTGTTGGCTTAGTATAAAGCGTCCTTCGTCCAACCCAGAAGCGAAGAATTCTTAGATGATCTCTTTCCTTTTCTTTTTATAAACGCCTCCGCCAGGTCATACCCAGAACAAGGGGCGCATTATTGCTTTCTCAAGTATTCCCAATTCTTTGAAGAGGAAACATGGACCCCTGGAACGGTATGCCCAAAGCATTATGAGGTTTGCCGAGAATAAATGATGATATCATTTATTTTGTCTGACTTCTTCCAGCAAGGTCTCAGGTCTCCACGGGACATCGCTCGAGATGCTGGCGAAGATTCTCCGTACCGGATATGGCCAAATTACGGCGGTAAGGACGTATGTAAAATAGTTGTTCCTGATAATCAGCTCTAATTTATAGCATGGATTTAAACATTTGTATTGAAATGTGATGTACGTTGCATTGGTCCAATCTATCATTCCATCATTTGAAAAGAAAACGGGTAGTCTAACCAGGACTAGAAAAGGACACTCTAGGAAGTGGGTAAATAATAAACTAGTATACATGTAATTTACTTGGAATCGTATAAATGCTCTACGTACAGCTCAAGATTTAGTGCCCAGGAAGTTAGTTCGACCCTTAAGCTCTAAGATAGTATTACTTCCCTATCTAGCTCAAGCCACATAGATACAAAATTTTCTGGGTTATTTAATCAGATGTCAAAAGGAAGCGTAAATACTGTTCAGCAATTTCAAGTAAGAAGCACTTATTTCACGACATCGGAAATGAAATTTAGTTATATGCAAAATCATCGCATTACTGTAATATCAAAACTAAAAACAACTAATTACTTTCATAGCGCTTGTCTCTGTTCCTGTGCCTGTGACCGTGGCTTGACGTATGTTTCCCCTTTTTTGTACCTTTCTCATAGCGAGCAAGGAGGTCCAAAAAGGGATTATCACCACTAGTTTTGTTCAGGCGACCAAGTGCTCTTGTCTCAGCAGCCTGCTTGACTTCTTCAGAATTGGGTGGGCGGCCGTCCCGTTTGTTTTGCCTTTTGCAATGATAAAAGGAACCAACCAAGCTCGTCTTCTCTTGGATAGGCTCCATCTTAGTGTGGACTTTCTGATTTTTAACGGTCGATTGCTTCGGATCCAAGCTTGGAAAACATCTTTGGGTGATGACGTTTCTTTCTGTGCCCCTTTTCTAGAGCTGGCGGTTGTCGGAATGCTCTCTCAAACTCAATCTCCCTCTCCCTCCTCTCACTTTCCCTCCTCTCACTCTCCCTCCTCTCCCTATCCCTATCCCTCCTCTCTCTCCTCTCCCTCCTCTCGCTCTCGCTCTGGCCCTCACTCTCTTTATACCCCCCCTATTCATTCTCTCCCCCTCCCACTCTCTCGTTCTCCCCCTCTCACGTTCCGCTTCCTCTCGCAGCCCTTGCTCACGTCTCTCCTCTCGTCTTTCATCCCTACGCTGTTGTTTAACCCACGCTTGGGTAGATTCAGAGACTGCTGGGAGAAGAGGTTCATCTTCTTGAGAAACTGGTGCCCTTTTGACTTTAGACATGTTTGGTTGTGTTTGAATAAGTAATGTTCTGGAGAATACTTTGCAGTTCTGTAGACGACGACGAAGATGAAGATAGCTAGAAGAAAAAGAAAGAGAGTTTAAACCTCCAAGGCCTCGAGGTATTTATACTCCTTTCCAAAGCAAAGTCGTGATTGACTGTGCCATACAAGTTTCTTTATTCACATTCAACCAACACCTTCCCATCCATCCAATTCGTGACTAACTGTGCCCCAAATCCAACAAATCTCTTTATCCCAACATCAAGACAACACCATCTAATCCTTATATTAGGTGATTTGAAACCTGCCATACGCATAGTATTACACGACAAAGACTCAGACTTACGAGATTTCTTCTCCCAACACCCAACATTTTCAAGTCATAAACCAGTTGCACAAAGTCTAACACAACAGCCTACCACAAAGACTTCAACTCACAAGACCTATTTCAGCTCCTCTTAACTGTGATGAATTACGGAATAGCCATGCCTTCACCCAAGATTGCCTCAGTAACTCATGACCAAAGATCAACCACCCATTCCAATCCCCTTATTCAACTGGGAATCACACTCACTCACGGCGCCTCAAAATCCAAGAAATCCGCACCAACCATCCATCTCTATGACTATCTTCATTCCAAGTACCAAAATTAGATGACGACCTCTCCACATTACATGAATAACGGAGGCAACCGAGGGTTGTGAAGATACCAAAACCAAGATCATTAGAGCTAATACGTGCATACCCACTAGAATAAAGCCCCCCTGTATCATTATCATCCTCATCGTTGACATAGAAAATCAGCCCAGTAAGCACCCCCTTCAACCACAAGACAACCATTCAAAACATCTCAATCCTCCCAAATATCTTACCTCAAGCTCATAGCTATGCCAATAATTCATCAGTCTGAAGCGTGAATCACATCTATAATAAAAACCCTAGTCACAAAAAGAATGTGTCATGAATGGGATCTCCTCAAACCTCTCCACCCTTTGACCTCCCACCCTCCAGGACCTTTAACCCTATTCCCATTCCCAGATCCAATCTACGATAGTGATTAGCCAAAAGACAACAAGCGCTCCTGCTGTTAGTATTTATATTGCTGAAGCAGCTAATCTCTTGAAGAAGATAAAGCAAGGCAGGGAGGGGGCTAGCTCGCTTAGCTAGTTGTGACACTTCCTGGTAACTGGTAACTGGTACAGCCTCGCGAAGTGGAGCCCAGAACTGAGTCCAAAATTAATTTGGAAAGAGGGGGTTGGTTGGAACATAGGTGGGTGCCTGGGTAGGTGACTAGGTGTAGTTAAGTAACTCTTTGAATATCAAATCATATCATCTCCAGGAAACCTCTTCATGTTTCATTACCATTCAATACATCACAAACCAACCATCATCACCATCAAAACCACAAGAGAAGAGAAAGAGCGACAATAGTACCACTCGATCATCAAAATACAAAACATTCAAATCATATCCTTAATTAAATCCAAAAGTCAACTAGAATATTTATACCTAATATCAATAATCATCCCAATGCCTCCTGATAATCGGTCTGGCCGGATCCCACGGCCCATGAATCTCATTCTTATACTTCTGCAACCCAATTAACCACCAACTGCACCCTCCCATTGCAACCCCCGTACTCACCACGCCCACAAAAACTCCCGTCAACCCAGCTTTCCAGGGAAAATCCAAGATCCCCTCTCCGTCGCCTCCATGTCCGAGACATAATCCCACGCCGCCACTAGCACCCAGCACAAGGAGAGTGGTCAAGGTAACATGACCCCGCCATGTCCGCCGTTTAGCATAGCGTCGAAAAACTGGGAAGAGACCGAAGACTTCAATACTGAAAAGCGTCAGACTGAACACTTGACCCGTACTAGGTAGACGAGAAGCGAGCACGGTACTAGCCATCAGCGCGGCGTTGGTACTCAGCGAAGCGGGAATATTCTTATTCCCCGATGAGGGCTCAGGAGTTTTATAGTCGAAGAAGAAGATGTTGATTGTGAAGAGGAGGAAAGACATTGCCCAGATTGAATCGGGGGATGTGGAGCGCGTGAGGGATTTCAGAATCGGAGAGAGCCCGAGGAGGGTAAAGTAGATCAGGAGGGCGGATTTGGCGGTTGCGAGACGGAGAGAGGTACGTGGACTTAGGGTTGAGGTGGTTACGCCGGGGAAGTTGGGTGCTAGGCGGGGCGATTGCTGAGAGTTCGTTTGAGAAGCGGCGGAATGAAGGGACGAGGCGGAGGCGGAATGGGAGTGTGAGTGTCGTCCGGGTAATGGATGGGTGGAAGAAGTATGTAGTCCCAGACCAAGATTGGAAGTAGAACTCGCGGCAGAGACTGTAGAGTAATATGGTGGGGAAGGTGTGGCTTGGTGTGGTAAAGGTTTAGGGACAATATCATCTTGCCCTATCCACATATCCCACAACACCCATCCCAAGAATGTCGCAAAGCTTCCCCATCCTACCACTGCCACTGAAGAGATTCGGTCTTGGACTATGCCAATGAAGCAGACAATAAATATCACCACCGAGCAGACATGTTGTACAATGACGGTGGAATCTGCCACCAGTGGCCAGAAATCATAGGGCTGCAGACGGGGATTGCGCTGGAGATGTTCGAGGAAGGTGGTCTGATCGGTATAATTGTCCGGGTCTTGCAATGGGTGAGCCAATGTTTGGGTGTCGTGTTGATCATGACTTACAAGACTGCTTTACCCATAACAGCTTACTCCAAGTCACTTTCCTCTTCCTACTGCTACTTCGATGTCTCGTTTTTGACCGCCCCCTTGGCACACCAAGGCCCGCTGTCATCCGCAACTCATTCTGCGCCTTCTTCACTGCAGGGGCCTGCCTTTGCGGTGGTGAGCCCTGGTATATGGCATCTTCTGGCGCAAGTAGTGTCCGATTCGAGGCATGGGAATGAGGGCCCAAATTGGGCGCGGTTGCGCTTCTCGTGTACGACGGCGGCTGTTTGCCCGGCGGATGGAGCGCGCTGGTGTTGGAGGTCGCGGCATGAGCCTGGTTGGGCACCATGATCTTATCGAACAGGATTCCTCATGTGTTTCGAGGTCTCTGGAGGTGTGGTGGAGTTGAAGTTGTCAGCCTTGCCAGATGTTTTCCCCCGAGGCTGGCGCACCTGGTGCACCACAGCATGAGCCCCTAATTCGCGTCCACTCGACGTCCACATAAGAGCGTCCAGAGCGACTCATTGGCTTCGCGTCTTCAAGAATGTCAACACCACATATCGACAAGCACAAAAGAGTCCATTGACCGTGGCATGATATGGATTATCCGACTTCAAGTGGTGTTCTCTGCTCTTGGGAAAGAGTGCCCCGCGGGAGATGAGGACGATGGAAATCAAGATTTATTCTATCTAACTTTCCGCTCGCTCGGCTCATTTCTATTAACCTTATTATATTTTTTTCTTGAGTGATCCATGATCTCATCTCGACAGCTTAGGCTTCATTTCTCGAGATCGTTGCCAATGCCAGCCATCAAACACGCGTAAAGGTCGTCGCCACCAATCGAGCCAAAGCTTCTCTTGGCTGCGTCGACCTTCCCTTGGGATTCTGTATCCACACGGGAATCTTTCTCCACAATTGTGAATCTTGGTAACCCCCCGGCCGCAACATCGAAACGTTGACAGTCAAGAGGGGACTGTGGAGAGATGTTGAATGGGAGGAGGAATTGAGGTGGATACGGAGTATTTATTGTATAGTTGCTTCGTATGATATATCCTCATAGAAGAGTACGAAGTACATGGAGCAAACATCAGCTTTTACACACTTCCATAAGATCTAGACCAACATACCAGTGGGGAAGCTTGTACGACCACCCATCTTTGGTAGGTTCGTACCGGTACCACATACCCAACAAGGACACAGGGAATCCCTCCAGGTCAAGGATCCTTCCATGAGGCACGAAAACCCTCTCAATTGGCCAGAAAAGAGAATCTCATCGACGGATTGGGATGCTGGTTCAACTCAAGGAGGATTCAGCCGCAATCTATTCGCTGTACCGTTTTCTATTTGCGTCACAGATCTCCAAATAACCTTTACCAACGACAAAATGCGTACAGGATGAACTCTGGTTGCCAGAATTGAATGACTGTTGAACAGTTCAACTGTCGGACATTCCAGCAGAGCGTTTGACTTGGCAGTTTTGTCAAACTTTCGACCGTTTTTTCTTCATCTGTAAAAGTTTCAAAGATCTGAGGTTCCGCAGGCCAGCACGAGTATGCGAGTCTCGAGGATGTGGGCTGTGTGAGTTGCACAGGGGTGATGAGGGCCATGAATGCGATCGCACATGGGGGTATTTTATATGTGAGATTTTTGGTAGCTATTTTGCAGATCTCACGACTGTAGCCAATGGGCATAGAACCAAAGGCTTGGTTTCATTCTAGGAAGAAATATTGTACAATCGTGTACTGTACATACACAGTGCGTTACACCAAGGAGAGTCTTACTGTACTAACCTTCTAGTCAGATTCTAGATCCGCTGACAGTGAGACATTGGGGTGATGCAAGAATAAGCAACATCCACACCATAAGCCACATGATGATGTACGAAGTAGCCCTTGGTTGGTGACATGTACGAATCGTCAAATGGAACAAAATGATGCGACCATCACATAACATTAAAAAACTTTATGCGAATCGAATCCCATTGGGAATCCAGGTCGCTCGCGAAATAAGTAAGAATAGTTGGAAATGCCAAACTTCTCCACGGAAACCCATAACTCTTTTTTGCGGCTTCTTTTTGTCAAGATCGTAGATACTCAATTCATCACAAATAGAATGCGATTGTTGGAGGTCTATCAGGCTCCAGGGTCCCATTTTGACGTTGCACCACAGTAATACTTCCAAGTACAATGGTAGTGTAGAGTGGGCACTATCACTCCTACTATCCAAACATCCATCCACATGCACAATCCCACTCGCCTAATCGGGTCATACACAGGGTCCTCCGGGGCTGAATCGCTCGCTCCAGCGGGACTTCTTGCTGACATCCAATCCAACCACCCCCTTCGTCTTTCGACTACGAAGTAAATCTGATTATTCACAGCATACTGCATGGCATGGCATGGCATGGCGTAGCTTAAAAGTGGCTCAGCTGGGCTACCCCTGTTCTATCAACCACATTGGCCACCTTTGTACCTGTTTCAGCCCGCTTTTAAAGGTCAGAAGGCCCCGCCATGATGGGCTTGGACTTAACAAATGTTTGTGATCTGATATTGTCGCGGTCATTGTTTTGATTCGGGTGGACAAGAATCCGCTTTTTGTGTTTTGGATTCTTGGAGAAGGGAAAGAGGGGAAGCTTGAAATTCGGACTTGGGGGACTTGGGGGACTTGGGGGACTTGGGGGACTTGGGGTCAGCAACAGATCCATAAGGAAGGAGCATCGTCCACCTACAATCTACAAAAAGCCGACAAGAATTTTTTATCACGTCGACGTCCAATCTACAAATTTCGAGGAAAGAAGCAACAAAGCAACAGCAACAAAAACGTATCACAGCCCAAGTTAACACCCACATCACAAACCACAAACCTCAAAATGAAACCAATATCCCCCTTCTCAATGTTCCTGTTCATCAACCTCACAACCGCATCACCAATCCCGCTCTGCTCAAAAGAATGCCAAACACTCCTCAAATTCATACACCGAAATACACCACCCACTCGTCTATCCTCAGAACCATATTTTCCTACCCACCAGCATCCTCCCCAGGTTCTTAACGAAGAAATCAATAACCACGCTCACACACCCTCGGAAACAGAAGTTCTCGCCCCTTCTTTGGTACTAAAGGTCGAGAAACCTCTTTCGTCAAAGTTTTTGCTTTCCATCTCAGCTTCCAAACCCAGACTTCAAAAATCCCCTGTCGAAGAAGTAGTGGGAAATGCGGCGCTTGCTGCGAAACCAACGAGTACACTACCGGAGTCAAGGAAAGAAGATTTGAAACAGTACTGGGCTGCGTTGAATGCTGAGAAGACTATGAAAGAGGAGCAGGAAAGACAGGAGCGAGAAAAAGTACTGGGAGTCAAAGAATGTGGACACGGGAAGTTTGATGGACACTATTATATGCAGAAGACGGAGTACGTTAGAGAGTATAGTGATGTGATTGTTGTGGGGCTTGTGCTGTTCTTTTTGGTAGTTGTTGTAGGCGCGGAAGTTTTCGAGAAGTTTGGACGGAAGGGAAGGGGTGCGATTTACCTGGCAGATGACGAGGAGATGGTGGTGGATGTAAGTGAGTGTACGATGGAATATAGAGATGAGGAAGAAGAGAGGAAAGAGCTAGATTCTACGGATCTCAATCTCAAGAGCGGAAGCGAAGAGCTACAGCACGACGCAAAATCATGACGCCAGATTTCATGATCACTTTTTCTTTTGTTAATTCGCGATATGGGCATACAAGGCGTTAGATGGTACATGACTGGACACTCATGGGTCATGGAAGGAGTTCGAGGGCATGATTATCTGGGTGAGAGGGGTATTTGGATACCTATCTGTACATACAAACATACACAAGATATCCAACCAGCGTGGACTGGATATAGGGTTATATATATACAGTGCATACAATACTTTCTGATATAGAATCGAAATTTATCACATCTAAAAAACCAATCAATCAGCTCGTTTTCCCTGTCTATCCCCGGCATATCAAGCCTACCATTCATATCATCTCTCTATTGAGTCCATTCCGTACCTAACTACGATACTCGACCCAACAGAGTCTAGGGCCGGCTTTTTATTGATTTACCACATGAAAAGAACGATGAAATTTGCGTGACTAATTCATGGCTGATAGCTACACAGGGCAGAGACGTTCTTATTGTTAACCTCTACATGCTCCGGCTTACCCATCCTTAGCTATTTATTCGCTCAATTAGAGAGCGAGTCTACTTGTGGCTTTGAGTACGATATCGTCTTTGCTCATTCAATGACTGGAACCATAATATGTCTGAAACATGGAGCTTCGTTATTCACTAATGCTGTGCCCCAGCCCCAGTCCAAGCCTCTATGAAAGGAACCCTAAATAGATAGAAGAAGGAAAAAACAGCAAAAGATATCCTCTGCTCCCACCCAATTGTAAAGAGCACCCAGGATATGAATACCAGACGAACTGAGTTTTACAAGTTATTCTTAGGCTTTCGTTCAAGGTTTAGTATGTGCTATTAGTTTTAAATGCCTAGCACAATGATGATGAAGCAGATGGTCATGTGACCAGCTTATGTCATACCAGCCACTATATAAGCCAGTTCTCCTTCAGAACTCTGGCAAATAAACCATCGCCTTAATATATTCTTTTATCTTCAGCATAAATTTGACCTTGCTGTCTGAAATGGGTGGGATTCTCACGCATTTTGTGGTTATTACTGGCAAGCCAAGACAACTGTTTTGTTGAATTAGTGACGGTGGGGGACTTATTTGGAAATATGTACTTTTGTCGCTTCTTTTGTGGGTATATTATTTTGTACCATGAGTGAAATTGCGCGGTGTATAGGGTCCGGGTATGGTACCAAATTTAGCTGTACTTAGAAAAATAGATCATCCGTCTCTTTTCTCGCATGTTGCTCGCTGCATCCCCTTCGTGGGGTTCAACAGACTAGTAAAACATTATGAGACTCCCCAAGGAATCAAGGATCAGGTATCTCCTATATGCAGACCCTCTACACGTCTCCATGTGGCTGGCGTATGGAGACAAAGAGAGGTTCTTCCCCCTTCACTAACCTCCCCTCCCCTGCTCTAGTATCCGTGTCCTCTAGAGAGGTAAATAAGTAATCCACTCACAGCAAATCACAAGGTTCATTAAAGCATATCATCTGGGTCCCATGGCCCAGTTGGTAAAGCTACCTCATGTCTCATATTTGCGAGATAAACCAACTTCTCCGAAACCAAGGGTAGGTAGGAGATGCAGAGTTTGTCGGGGTCCTTCCTTGCAAGGGCTTCTTTTTTTGCATTTTTTGGATTTTGTTTTTGGAGTTTGTTATAGAGGGCGAGGGGGAAGGGCTTCTGCTGTGTTGAGGTTGGGTTGAGGGGTTTGTGGGGGAGGTGAGTGAGGAAGGTGAGCCCTAATAGCAGACTTGTTGTTGCTAGGCGATTTGGCGACCTACGAGCCTCTTGTCATAGGACATATTAGTGGGTCTTGCGCGCTTGATTTCGTCGAGGGCGTTGGAAAACGCTATAGAGTACTTGTATCGTCTTCGTCGAAGGATCGCTTTACTTTGAGAGAAGCCATCTGAAACTCGGCATTGTAAATGTATTACATAACAAGTGCTGATATGTAGAATCAGAAGGCATGTATCACTTCCCACATATAGAAGTACTTCAAATGCAGTGAATATATATGTTACGGCACGGCTGCTCTCGAGTACGCTCAGCTCCCCTGAATAGGCACGAGGATTCTCGGTTTCTCTGTCTAGAATTGTTATAATTTTTAGAGATGACGCTCTTTCTATTTCGAACAACTCTAGCTACACTAAGAGCTTATATTGGAGCCCGTTTTAGTTCTCTAGCTGGCTTATTGCTCCATTTACGGCCAGCCGCAACTCGAGAACATGAGTTCCAAGGCCCACCTCAAGAACTCGATATCCCATCAGTCGAACCCAAATGAGGGGAGCGATGGCCTGCACGAAAGGATGCTGAAGATCGAAACGCGAACGAAAGAATGAAATCATTTTTCACTAAGAAAGCAAGAGCAAAACGAGCGGCGGACTGGGAGACCAACGAGATTTCGGAGAAGGAGGAGTTTATGCAGTTTCTAGAGTCAGAACCTGAAAGCACCATTGGGAAAATTGTGGTTTTATTGCAAAGTGAAGCCCAAGTCCTTGAAACCCCCTTGCAGCGCAAATGATCGATTTATACCGAGCCGGACAGAAAGGAGGGACGCTATATCGGTTATCCAGCACTTGACCCCTTGGGATCCCATGCACTCATATGGCTCAAAATGGGAGTGAAGGATAAAGCAAGAGACTGATATTTCTTTATGGTTTACGCAAGGCCAGACGAGTGTAACAAAAACAGTTCTAGATCCTTCTACTATACGGTTAAGGCAGTTAGCCCACGCTGGCGAACTACGTGTACCAGACAAGGTTTCAGACCTGAAGTCGGATTTACACCATTCCTTGTATGAGACTCAAGAGACTAGAGTATTGAAATACCAGCCAAAGGTTATATGTAGCCGGCCCAGTGTTGCCAGTAGTTTAGTTGGTTAGTTCAGTTCAGTTCAGTTCAGTTTTAGTAAATTTTAGTCAGTTTTGAAAGTAAAATCTAAACCGTTGGTTGGTTCAGTTTTAGCGTATAAAACTGATTGGTTTTGTTATTTTTATAGGTCATTTTGTAGGGTGTATATCATAGGGTATATATTATAGGGTTAAAGTTGTATTAGTAAGACTTTTCGACAGTTCCAAGTGATTTAATTAGCTTAACCACACCGCCTAAAAGTTTTCGCAGCACATTCTACTACTATACCCACGTGTTACTACGGGTGAAGCTCTCGAGAGGCTTATACTTTCGCATCACCAGCACGACTAGGTCTACTACTATGGATTAATAGATATAGAAGAAGAGATGTTGTTTATTACAAGAAAGATACAGGACTTGAGAGAGTAAGACGACGATAATATCGCAAAGAAAGTTAATTTGCAGTACTTGTACAAGACTCGCTTACGAATTCAGATTAAGAATAAGATAATAAACACCCAGTTTTGCAAGACTACAATAGTTTTTTTAGTTGGTTTTAGTATTTGTTTAGTTCAGTTTTGTAATTTTGACCAAAACTTTGGTTAGTTTTACGATATTAAAACTGACGATAAAACTGATCAAACTGAACTATCTACAACACTGAGCCGGCCTAGCAGGCCAGGCGCTACAGACTCCAGTATACGAAAATACTTGATTACTGACACCAACGTAGACCCCATACCCCAGCATGATAGCCAGGTTGACATGAGGACCGCAGCCCAAAGTACCAAAGGAAAACCCAGTTGTGGATTATGTATACTGAAACTTTTGTAGCCTAAGGAATTTTTCGTATTATAACCTTGTCTTCTAATACTGAAGATTTCAGAAGACGGGGGCACAATGTGAGAATGAAGCAAGCATAGAGAGAGAAGCTAGCGTGGGAGCTAGCGTGTCTCTACTATATAGGCTGTCTGGTAGGCCGGAAACATCCGGAAAATGATTAGCTCCTTCTATATGAAATATACTAGTGCTAGGGAGTAACCTCCGATTCCTTTAAAATCTATTCTACTTGAACAAGAAAATTATATCTAAGTCTTCTAGAGTAGTAATTTGAATTTATATGTGATAAATCCTCTTAATGTGTTTTTTATAGAGTAAAGTATTTGAAAGGTCTTAAGTAAAGTAATTTGATAAAATGCTTTACTCTTTTATTATATATTAGAATAGAACACATATTCTTATACTAAACACGTTTCTAAGTTATCAGATTCTCTTCTTTTAATGTACTATAGTAAAGGAGTCTAATTAACCTTATTTAGCTTAAGAAGCTAAAGGCTTATATCGCAAATCTATCGCTCTAACTTTATTATGCGAATACTTGGTAGTAAAGTTATAAAAAAAAACAAAGTTAACCTACTACTTCTGAAAAGAAAAGCTCTTTCTTTACATTTAGCAAGTCTTGAAATATATAGAAAGAACTTTTTGTTTTATCCTACTTTAATAAAAACGTTATCTTGAATTCCTTTAGACAAAGGGTAAAAAGGGATAAATCAGAAATTCATTATTAGAAATCTACTACTTAAACCATTCAACGTAAATTTGTTACGTATTAGACTTTACTGCTTGACAACATTATTCTAAATGACCAAACAAACCACATATATCTTATTATCAAACGTCTAAATATGTTATACAGAATCTTTTAGATAACCATACTAAATAAACTTCGTTACTTACTAATAATAAATTTTGAATCAATAATAAAAGGATACTTACGCTAAACTTATATATGTAAAGCTTTTATATGAAAGATATGAGAAAACATTGTTACAAGGATATATACCTATAGAGGTGTCAATCGGCTATTACTGCTAGCAAAAGGGTGTTAAGCGAAATTAACCCACGACAGCACACTAAGAAAATTTCGCCGATTCACTGTCATTTTGCCTAGATTCGCGACATCTTAATATTCTGTTTTCCCCTGTACCTGTTACTTCACTCAGTTCTTGCGTGTATTATTCTACTGTTTACAATGACTTCACGATGGCTTTTTGGTATCTACTTCTCATTGAACATCCTCTAATATATTTCTAACCTTATGTAGGAATCTACCAAAACTACAAAAAAGATACTGGTGTCTTTAACTCATGGCTCACCACCACAGCAATCAAGTGCGGTTATACCCATGATACATTGCCTAGTCATACCTTTGAAGAGCCTACAATTATCAAAGTTTCTGTAGCCTTGTTGCTGCAGCAGGCCAAATATCTCGCCAACCAGAAACCACCGATCCAAGTGCCGTATATTGTGGTGCGGTCAGCAAGACGAGCTATTGAAGCGCGATGGAAATGCCGACAATTATACGATGATATTCTCGCAGGCATGGAAGATGGAAATGCTGCGCTCAAAAAGAGCAATGAAGGGCATGAGTACTTCGTGAACACCATGGAGGCCATTTTGGAGATATTGGGGCCATTTTTACAGCAGGAGGTAATTTCTGGTGCTTCCCGCCAAGTTTCAAGCACAGAGGCCAATATTTTCGAGCTTTTGGAGATGGAGGACTGTGATGATGATGAGTCGTCGCCTTTGTCCAGCAGAAATGAGTCGCCAAAGGAAAGATTCGAGATCTTCGATCTTTCGCAAGCAGAATCTGCCTCAAATCCATTGCAAACATGGCGGTCATGGAGAGTTCAGGCATTCTATGCCATTGAGGAGCTTCAAGCCATTAGACGTCATGTGTATTCGGTCTGGGAAGACTACCAAAACGGCAAGGTTGACATGATTGTTGCATCTTTTGTCACGGAAGTTGCATTCAATCTCATTGAGAGCATTGAGCGTGAAAAGATGTAGTTCAAAGTTGATGGGGCAGAGATTGATTCTCTGGATTGTGCACTCGAGGCTCTCGATATGTTTACGCCGAAGCAGTTTCTCTTGGTTTGGCATGAATTTGGAACGCTTTGGGAGTACAGCGAGCGTTACTTCCTTAGATTCAAAGCAGAAATTGAAATCCTGCTCAAAGCTCCCTTCATAAACTCGGAAAAGCTCAGGGGGCTCTATGGAATGTTTAATCCCGCCGCTGAACGAGATATGTTGTCAGCCCAAGAGAAATGGTCCCGTCATGGCATCATTTTGAGCCATATTATCAGTGAAACGATATTTGCGACTCAGGTCGCCGCAAATCGAAAGAACGGGCTCAAACTCGGACGAGTAGATAGATGGACGAAGGGACTCGCTAAGCTCGTCACAGAGAAAGCAGAAGAGGTAACTTCGCTGGCAATGTGCGCTCAACTCCAGATCCTGCTGGATATCAATATTCTCCTTGGAAAACGAGTTACCAGACCTTTCAAACAAATGGAGCTCGTGGTGACGGTAACTCGTACCGCACTTGAGAGCTACAGAAAGTTTCTTGGAACAAAACCGTTTTCAGTTCTTGGAGGCGAATCCTGGAGCGGTGAAAGGAATAGAAATCTGGAAGAGCTGATCCCATCTATTGATGGAAAACAACTTGTCAAATTCAAGACCGAGCATATGAAGAAGTTGGAGGGAGAGTTTGATATCATCCCTGACTCGCCATTCTCGCTAAATCCAATACTCTGCGGCCTGAACTATTTGAAGATATACGCCAATATCCAGAAAGAAGCCGTCAAATCAGCGGATGAGTGGTTTTTTATCCTTCCAGTAGCCCATCTGTATAATGCGTTGAGAGAACTTGGGGCCTTCAAAGGCCAATGGCCACGAATGGAGCAGATGATGGATATCCACGGGCGAAGGTTCATTTTCGACGGCGAAGCACCCACCACGGTAGAGACCTGTCATTTCAAAGCCAGGCGTGCTTTTGGATACTCTACTACCATGATTGGTATGGATGAAATCATACCAAGAGTCCGAACTGGTCCGCGACGGAAGCGCGAGGGTAGTTTAGGTGCCATGTCACAAATTATCCAAAAGCACATCTTGAACGACGAATCAGACATGATTGCTTCCCTCAGACGCCTTTACCAATTTAAGGGAACCGATTTTCAGGCAGAGGATGCTGGTGATGAAGATTTCCTCTCATTTGTTCAAGTGCAAGTACCCAGGAACTCAAATATTTGAAGTTTGATTACTGGAAATTGAACGAAGATTGTATGAAGGTTCTGCGCGCCCTCCTGATTGTTTTTGCGCCAAACTTTAGAGCATATGGGCTGCGGCATTACGATGATTCTGTTGGTAACGAAGCAAGATGCATGAGAGAAGTGGTCCCTGATCTGTTGTGCCTGGTTGCCAGAGGTTGGTGCCCAAAACCTCTAATCGACCAGGGAACCTCCGTGTTGGGTATGTCCCAAATCATTTTGCGAAGTGTGTGTTTTGGTGGGCCTGAGGGTCAGAACTTTCAAAATAAGCATGTTTTCGGAGAATGATTTGAATTGGGCTCTGGAGTTTGATTTTGTGGCTGTCTGTTGGCTCGATCTGTCTCTCTTACGTATTGGCAATATATACCATATAAACGTTGCATTTTCCCTCATGGATACAACATGCTCCAAAAATCTTTTCTGATTATCGGAGCCAAGCCCTGTGTCCAATCATTTGAACTCAATGCCGCCGCGGAACAGTCTCATTCTATAGACGATCAGTCTGTCCCTCGCATGTTGTTCTGGAGAAATGGCTTGCCTATAAGTAGCTCGAGGCGATGCTTTATAGGCAACCTCAGAACAGAGAAGTTAGTGTAATAAAATAACCTAGTGGAAGCTATTTCTCCACTGCGCGGGATCCAGACCTCAAACGAATAGTTCATTTAACCCCTGTAGTTTCTGGCTTTGGCCTCCATGGGCGATTGAGAAGGGCTCTCTTCTTTCTTGTTATGTGTGCCTTTCCTTGTCTCCCTCCTAGAATCTGCATCTCCGCCTGGTATTTCCGCTGTTACCCTCTGGACTGACGGGCGCTACGTAAGATGTGATGTATTGTTTCTTTTTGGGTTCTGCCAGATGCCGCTCAGTTTTAGTTTGTTTTGTCTTTTATGTGGTCGAAGATAAGGTGTCCAACGGTTTTGAGAAGTCGAATTTATTCTTCATGTAAACGGAGGTGGCCCGAAATGTTTAGGTCACGGACAAGCGCTGCTTGCTGATCTAGACTTCTGATACATGCAACTCCATCGCGAAAGACTTGGTGTGGATGAAAGTAGCCCAACTTTATGCTCTTGTAATCCCGCAACTTGCTCTGTTGTAACCGGGACACCATCTATTGAAAAACTCGAATTTCGTTTTTCATGGGCCGTTTGGAGGCAAAGTAGCGCACGAAAGAGCGTTTATTACATCGCTTGGAGAAGTGGAATGCAATAATGACCATATTTTCCGATTATCGACCCCTCCTGAGTATATCGAACCTGTACTCGTTTGTTAGTTGGGTACAACAGATAAGCTAGAGATGTGGGAGGTTCAACCTTTCTTGCAGCCTTTTGATCTTTAGATGCCGCTTCGTCAACCAGATATGTATGATTACTCCTCGGCCAAGGAATAAGAGTTTTATCGCACAATTTGGATCCCTCGATAGAGATATTTGAACATGTGTTGATAGCACATCTACTTGATCTTATGAGAAAATACCTCAGACCAAACCCCATCGTCTGCTGGGACGTCATCTGTGGTTACGTGTCGATCCTTGTCGCAAATTGCAAGTCGGTGGTTGTATAGTCATTTTTGAGGTCATCACAGCCATTAGCCTTCACTTGAGCTTCCCGACATGTTCCAGGTTGTCCAATTGAAGGAACCAGTCTCTCCTTTTTTGTGATGCCTCCGCATTGATTCTTTTCTGCCACAGTTTCCGAATCTAGCTTCTCCCCTTCATCCTCTTGTAGTTTTACATGCCTTCGCACATTGATATACTTGGATTGGCCTTGACAGGTTGGAATAAAACATTGTATCGACTTTCCGAGGAGGTTCATGTAAGGTGTTGAATGGACGGTCCAAGAAGATACTGGGAGGAAGGTCACGTCAGACCTTTATCTAAAGGTATAGCTACTGTAGCAGTTAGCATACCACTCATCTAAAGCTAGTTATTCAAATGGAGTAATGACTTGATCTTACTTGAGGATAATCTTTCCAATCTCTAGCGCTCCTATTGTGGTAATGAAAAAGAAGGTGGGATGTTTGCTTCCTAGTGAAGCGGGACAAAGCAGGGGCTGCCAAAGCTAAGCGATATGCACTAAGAAAGCTCTTTTAACTTTCCTCCAGCCTTGTCGTTATCAACTATTCCATCTCTTTATCTTCTAAGGTCAACTTAAGAAACGCCGCCGCAAATTATCCATCGTCCACTAGTAAAATGGATCCATCCGAGCACGGCAATCCTCCAAAAAAGCGCGAAGCCTCTTCGCCCCCTCCGCCCGTTTCCCCAACCTCAAAATCAGCAGCAAAGAAGGCCAAGTCTGGCGCAAAAGAGCCCACATGGGCGGAGGCATCACCTCCATCATTTATTCAGCATGAGTATGTTATTTAGAGCTGCTCAGAACGAGCTTTTCATCTAATACTACTCTAGTTCTTCCTCAGCGGACACAAACACAACCCCAATCCCAATACCCACACTGACACCAACAACTCGACCTGCCTCTCTAAAATTCAATCGCATCGGCTCTCCCCACGCCATGGGTATGAAACAGCGCGCTTCCACGTTCATCGGTATCCCGCATTACGGCTATGGCATATCGATCGAGGAGATGGTCAGTGGCATCCAGATTCCCGCTGCTTTGCTGCCAACGCTTCAGCCCTCAGAGCCCGCCCAGTCTGCTCCCAGTCCTTTAATGGGCATAAAAGAACTGATTGAAAGAGGACTCCTTCCCAGCAATTCTCACTACGCAGATGATGACCTTCCAGAGCCCGAGTCGGTTCTTTTGCCGCCTCTCCCTTTATCAGACAAGCCAATAGAATCTGATGACCATGAATACCGTACTTTCCGTGAAGTGGTATGGGACCGTTACTTCCAGGTTTTTGAGCCTCGTATTACGTGCTTTGATCACACGTGGCTCAACTGGCTGAGATTTTTGGGTCTTCTAAAATTATCAAATCCGGCATACAATAAGGCAAAGATAATGAATGTAGACTGGAGAATCGCAAAGGCAGTTGAGGGAAAGTGGAAGGACGAATCGTCGGCTAAGCGCCGAGTAGTCGAATACTTAGCAGATCGCCGTCAGAAATATGATGATGAGCATCAGGTTCCAAGCCGAGAGTACCCGGATAACCTACATCGTGTTAAAGCGCTGACTTTGGAGGAGATTGAGAGCCGATTTTCACGATTACAGGCGTTACCACCGCAGAGGAGCAAATTGAGGCACGAGAAAGGTTGCTGGACAGCATCAACGTCGTTTCTAAAGCCCGCGAAGCAATAATGGCGGCAGTATCTACGCCAATGATCACGGAGACTACATTCAACACTTTAGTCCCGTTGATTCGCCTTGATGTTGTGTTCAAAGCGAAAGTGGTCGCGAAATATCGCAACCCCCCGGCACTTTCTTGGATGGAGTTCGAAATAAAATTTAGGATTTACTCTCCTGAATGTTTCGTCTTAGCAGAGGATTACCAAGTAAAGTTTCGTCAATGGCTTCGTAAGCTCGGTCTCAATCGCTTCCCCTTCAACTTTTGCCATGGTTACGAGCATGCCTTAACTATCGTCGAGCTGTCGTGGAATGAAATTGACGCAGAGAAGAGAAATCAGTTGGCAACTAGAGCCAGCAAATACAAAGAGAAGTTCTTAATTAAAGGTTCGAAACCACAGCACTGGTATTTCCTGGAAGGATATTATGGCTTCTCTGACAACATGAGTGTTTTTGATCCAATTGATACTAGACACAGAGGACAACGGGCAGTTGACCCCGATTACAAGATCAAGAAGGAATTATGGCTGAAGCACATTGGTCTTGTAAATGAGGATGGTGGATATGTCACTCCTGACGAGCTTCTGCGACGATGGCGCTCTAAGACTGATACAGAGAGAATCGCCATCGAAGACAAGGCACGAGAAGAGAGAGTGATTTATTGTGGTTGGCAGCGTGGAAGTAAAAATCTGGACGGCGGGCCAACTGGCAGGAAGCCCGTTACTATCCTCGACTCGTAGCGGAATATGGACATTGCAGGGGTTTAAGTGAGAAGAATGTTGAGCGATAGCAGAAGCAGTAAGACGGTTTCATGAATACGCAGTTCTGCCGTTTATGTGCCTCTTATTTTCAACTGGACGTCATTCTGGGCGAATATTATTCTTGTGTGTATTTCAGGCTGATGCTACAGACTCAATGGGCGGCTTGTGGGTTTTCTTTTTCTTCTTTATGTGCCTGCGTATCAAAATGAAGCGCATTTTGCACATTGTTTTAGGGTTGTTACTTGCTGAACACATCGATTTCTCTTCACATCAAGAATGCACATTATGACGGGACTTTAGGATCATTACAACTCGTGATTTTATTCCCCTGAGTTGTCAGCCGACCCGTGACTAGGTTCTCCTGAAATGTTAGCCGATCACGTGAATAGACTAACAAATCTGCCTTTGCCAGGTGAAATTGTTTGTGCTGAATGCATATTCACTTCGTATTCCTTTGCGCACTGGTTAACACCAATAGAAATTGAATGTACATAAATAAGATTCTTTCAGTGGAGTACAGCATCAAATTTCAATTTACGAAGCTACAAACACTCTAAGCCTAAATATCTAGACCTACGGCACGTTTTGAGAGCGGTATCAAAAACGAGTTGGTTGTCAAGACTGGTACAGTGGTACCAGTGGAGATTTGGGAATTGTATAGGTGAGTTATTCTTGATCCGCCTCGACAAATAAAGCCCAATATCTACCGGAGGGTTAATCATTTCAACTGATGACCTCCCCTGGGAGGTGCTCGTATTTAATACATAGCGTTTGCAGCAGAATTTCCTCTAAGCCAAATGTGACAAACAGCAAATGAGCAGACTAAGGAGTACCAAAAGACATAAAAGGAGACTTTTTGCCTTTCTGCTATGGGAACTTTGGCTTTCTTGGTAAGGTTAGTGTTGGCAGCAAGCATATGTCTCTCTAATCTAATATACCAATTAACCATAATTAAAGTTGCGTGGATAAGATATTTAAAGAAACGTAGAATGGCATTGCATTCACACGCTATGGGCTTATAACTACAGTAATCCAGGACTACAGTACCAGAGGGAAGACCCTGCACTTTCTCAAGTCCAAGAAATCCTTACTTCGATTGCACGAGCTCTGTTCGGAAAACCGGGAAAGCGAATTATTGCCCAGCCATCATCGTTATCAGTACGGCGTAAAACAAAACAAAACCTTCCCGCAAACCTTCCGCAGCAAATCCCACAGTGGCAAAACTACCAAGTTGCCAACGAAAACATGTCTTGATTCGAAACAATCCAAGTCACTCTGACTCCCTCAGCCCACACCAGTCCGCGATAAAGCCAAACAGCGGCGCAGCGCAGATAAAACGGAAACAAGCTTTTCCAAAAGGCGGGGGGATCTGGGTTACGCGCCGCGCAGATCCTGACTTTGGCAAAGGATCGTCAGTTTCGGAACTTCGATCATACCGATAACGTGTTAAAACAGTATTTTTCTCCATCAATAACCATAATTGAACGACGAGAAGATGATGCAAGAGAGAACGGAAAGTCTTGAGATTTGCACTTTGGAATGGTGTGATGATGTCCTTTCTGTGTGGGGTGGGGCCCTGCGCTGAATTGTTCGGAAATAATTCGCTTGTAGTTGGGTGGAATACCGAATGGGGAAGCAGGGTTGCTTATGAATAAACTTTGGAGGAAATCAAGTTATCGAAAGCCCTTACTTAGCCTTGCGTTCAATCCAAGGGAATTGCCAACCATGTGACAGAGTTTGCATGGAGTAAGAATCATGTTCTGTGATATTTTTTGTAATATTGCTATAAATAGTATCTATTGTAGGTAACTCTAGAGCCACAAAATGTACTCTGATTCCATACACCGTGATATCAAACCAACCTCTCCTAGAAATCCCTTCCATATTAATGAATAATGACATGTAATGCAAAATTTGTTCCTCTATCCCAATCAATTCCCAAACTCCACTGCAAATGCTGTAAATGGTATCCAAATAACTCCAGAAATCTTGCTTCGAATCGCCTGAGGGATCGGAAAGATGTAAACAAAACGAGATTAGACCTTCTTTGGCTCCACATCGACAACACACTTGGACTCGACCCATCTCGCTAACTTGACAGTCGGCACGTCAATCGCACGCCAGAAGATATCGGAAACGCAGATGATAATAGGGAGATATATGGCCAACCCAACTGCCCAATGAAGATGTCTCCCCATTCGCGTCTGCTTCCCAAAAGTCGAATCGAGAAAAGGCGAAACTCGAGGCTCGAGACTGGTCAAGCACAAATTATGCGTCAAATACAAGGCGTACGAAATTCCTCCCAAGTATTGCGCGATCCCATGGTTGAATAGGTTCTGCAGACTTTCAAGTTGGGTGCACGCAATCACAATTTGGAATGCCCCCAAACAGAACCAAACGCCTTGTCCTTGGTAGGGGCTTGGAGTGTGATTAGAAAGATATTTAATTCCCCAGACTTCATCAGCGTGATCGTTCGTCCAGGAGCCGATGAAGAGTCCGCTGATAATGTTGAGTGCCCAGAATACTTGCATTGCTCGCTGGCGAATGGTCTGGCCGTGAGCTTCCTCAAATCGGTCCTCGAGGGAGTATTTCGGGAGTATAGCAGGGCTAGAAAAGGGGGATGAAAAGGAGCGCCCCTGGTTGAGTATGTTGATTTCCGCGATTAACACCCCACCGAGAAACTCGACAGTATATAGTTGCCCGCCGTTAAAACAGAATATCATTATTCCCGCAAGAAGTAACATCCGGATGTTATTTCGGCATCGTGAGAGTCCAATGAGTGTGATGAAAAGAATCATTGATTGAGCAAATTCAATGGGAATCGTCCATAAAGCTGGGTTGTATCGTGGGGTTTGCGCAGAGACATTTGCAACCGACCAAGCTGCTTGTAGAAGCCGCGAACATGCCCCCCACCAATCCTTTAATTGTGCAGAGGCTTCGGGCAAGCGGTTGGCGTACCGAACATCTGAAAGTCCAGTATGAACAGCTATGGCCATGATGAAGAGTGCAATTAATGAAGGAAGAAAAAGTCGTAGTGCGCGTCGAAAAACGGACGAAGAAATAGTGCTAGCGAGAGCTGAATACTGTTGTGCGTGTATTTGCATGATTGGTTTGTAGGCTAAAACGAAACCCGAAATAATAAAAAATATGTGAACCATTGGTCGAGCAGAGTAAAGAACCCGAACCAAAGGTAGCTGCAATGGTGATGATGGTGCCCCGTCTTCGTATAATCCGTAAGGTTCTGCGAACCATCCTATGTTTTCCTCTGTATAATGTCCCATAAACACGATAAACGACGCCACTCCACGAAGTCCATCTAGGTACGAAGTCGGATGTAGCCGTTGTTGCTTCGCCGAGATAGTTTTTCGTTGTAGAAAGCTAGGTATAATCCCATGAGCCCCTCGTTGAATCAGCCTTCTGAGTGAATTGAAAAATATGTTGCATTTTGTATTTGGCGAGGCATCAACCTCAAGGTCTGCCCGTACTGATGATATGTGCCTAGAATGATGTCTAGAGTGCTGTCTAGCATGTTGTATAGAGTGATGCCTAGAATGTGTAGGCGGCATGGTGTAGTTATGAGGGGCAAGTTGGGCGTTTTCCATAGCAGATTCGTGGTGACTGACAGTGGTTTGTGGAACCATCCGACCTTCTTGGAGCTAGCTTGTCGAGCAAGCCAGAAAGAATGTTTAGGCAGAAGATATTGATTTTGATCAAGAGATGCAGATATGTTTGGAAAAGAAGTGAAATTGGAAAGAGAGTAGGTTGGAGGAAGAGGAACAAGTGAACATGAAGATGCAATGCTCAAGCTCCACCCTAACAAGACTTACTAACTAGGTGCACTTGCCCCCCGGACGAGCTCCCGCGCGCCATGGTATCACCAGACGAGCCTAGGAAGTGAATTGGTGTATCTCTCTGGGCAAAAGCATCAGATGTGGAGCCAATGATCGAGAAGAGTTTCCCCTTTCGGTGGAGGTGTTTTCTTATTTTTGGGAGCATAGACATGATGGAAGGTGATTTGTACAAGTACGAAGTACGTACTGTAGTACCTGGAACTTCTTGTGACTCGTACCCCTAAACGGAACAATATCAGTTCTTGGTTTTACGAAGTACTCCCTACAAGCAAAAGCCACAGAATGCAAAAACACCAAAATGGAATACGATCATTTTAATTAAACAGGCCTGCACTCAAGCATCGATTCCACGAAATCTACGAAGTAGAGACCCGGCGAGCTGGATGAAAGGAATGTTCTCTGATGACGACGATTTTCACAGATAGGGGTTATCCTGTTTCAGAGGCGAACGGACTGACGAACCGCCCCCAAGGGTCCAACCAAGTGTGAAGCGTCGTATGTATTCGAGGCTCATCTGCGAAACGTACAATTCTTGAGGGAATATGCTGGCAACCGAACAAACGACATTTGTCGTTATGAAGTTGTTCGTCCGAGGTGGGTGAGAGTGTAGGGGTCGGGATGCGATTGCGGGTGATGATGAAAGTCAAATGCCGGTGATTAGTTGCTGTACCGAGGATGGACCGCAAATTGGGTTAGGGGAATACGCTACTCTGTGCTCTCTCCACTTCCCCTGAACTTTACAACGTGGACGGTCAATAATCAATAACCAATTGTACCCGGTACGAACACCCGGTATGAACCTTCTCGAGATTGTTGGTGGATTTGCTATGAAAAAAACTGTTAGTCTGTTGAATATATCATGCATATCATGTCAGCATGCAGTGCTGAATATTTCTACAGGTTAGCAATGTTAAAATGGCAGAGGATACCTCCAAACGAGGATGCACCCCAGGGTTGGCTAAATACATGTCCAACTGTCATATGCTCAAAATCTGTATTCTTTTCTTCAGGAATCGATTAAATGGTCGCCGCGATGGCATAAATAATGCATGTATAAGCCTACGCACAGGCCACTATAACCCTCCATACCTCTACTACCAAAATACTGCTAGAACAACTATTTTTGTTTTACGATTAGGGCTAGAAATTAAAGGTAGACTGGTTAGAGTTAGGGTTAAAAGTTAGGGTTAGTGGAATATGATTTAGGGTTGTTTTGTAGTGTAAAGACAGCTAAGTGCCTACAGTTTCTACTAGACGTGGCCAAAGCTTCCATCGCGACCATTTAATCGATTCCTATCTTCATACCTAACAGGCCTGATCTGGTACTTGGCGAATCTCCTCTAATCCGTGCTTCCCGAAAGAGATCACAACTCTTAAACTCATCTGGGGGTCAATCAAAACACCGCGAGCAGGGGCAGTGCTAGAAATCCTTGATTCTCCGTATTCTGAACAAATCGGTTTTCATTATAGACCAAATGTTGTGCCGCATTATTCAGCTTGGGGATCACGTTTATTTAGCAGAAAAATGTACCGATATCCAAGTAAAATCTGGATCAAGGAACGTTCCATCGCTTTGCAGTAGCAGGATGGCTCTACGACAGTGTTGTACCAACTACAATACTTGGGCTTCGCGGTAGAGCCTACGTATAAACTCTCTTCTACTTCAAGGCTGTTTTGACTAGTGATTTGTCAACACCAGTTTATTGACTTTTTTCTTCTTCTCCGCCTTTTCTATCATTGATATCGTCTACTCCAAAACAACTCAGATAACAGCATTTTCATCTACACAGATGCATCCTCTACAACAACAGAAAATAGCCAAGGAATTGGGGTAGGTTTGTCTGTAATCTCACCTCAATCAAACAGAATCCACTACGAAAAGAAAGTCAACATTGGACCAAACAAGCTCGTCTACAACGGTGAAGTTGAAGGGGCCACGCTAGCAGTTGAATACGCTGCCAAGCACGCTAGACCAGGGATCCATTTCCACATCTACTCCGACAACCAGGCAGGTTTACGGAGGCTAAAAACCACATCAGATAACCCAGGGCAAGAGTGCCAAATCAGAGCTATCACAGCTGCCCGGAAGGCAGTTAGCAAGGGAGCTACTACCACAATTCACTGGGTACCAGGTCACACCGACATTCCAGGAAATGAGAAAGCAGACAAGCTTGCAAAAGCCGCCACCACAATCCAACCATCCACTCAACTCACTAGCTTTGCTATGCTAGGAGTCAAGATCAGGCAGACCCAGAACAAAGAATGGCGTCAAAAGCTTACTACACCCCCCCGGCACACAGAACCATCAACTAACCAACACTCGTATCGAAGGGAATTCCCATGGAAGATTCTGTCGAAACCTTGCGTCCCCCAAGGAACAAAAAGAGAGATAGCCAGCGCCTTTTATCAGCTTAAGCTAGGCCATGGATACTTCAAATCATACCTACACAAGCTCGGCCACACTACCAACAACCGCTGTAGATGTGGAAGACAAGAGACTCCCACTCACCTCCTTCTTAGCTGTCCAGAAACTGGGGATGCTAGGAAAGTACTAAAGCGCAACCTCCTCAAGCATCATATTCGAGAGTTCACCATGAAATCCCTCCTTCACACCGCCAAAGGAGTCGAGGCCACACTTGACTTTATTCGAACCACCAAAATCGCCACTAGAATATGGCACACACAACGCGCAACTGAGGATGAGAACGAAGATGAGGACGAGGAAGACGAGAACGAGGAAGTGTAGCGTACAGGGCGTGAAACGAGGGGGCGTACTACAACATAACAACTTTTCTTTTGTCATAACCAGAAGCCTAGCTGCTTCCAACAACCCAAGAACTGTAATGACCATAAACCCCTTCTCAAACATGTATTTAGTACAGCTTTACTCATCTGTTGGAGGGAAACCCCCAGCCGTGCTACTATAGTCTCAGACTCACACAGCACGTTAAAAGGAATAATAATAATAATAATAATAACTATCATTGATATCATTATAGTACAAATCTCCGACTTGTCCACTACCAAAGCACGATAAAGCCTAACAAACCAAAACTCAAGATAAGTGAGGAACTACATCTAGTAGTTCCAGAGCCCCTGGTGGCGTTTACTGTCGGCGCAGTTCTGCTCCCTTCTCCACCTCCGCCACTAGGAATCAGATTTGAGGTTGTTGGCTTCGCCGCCAATATCTGATCTGAGATGGAAGTGTTTGACGCAGTCCCAGTCGAATGACTTTTCACTGTATTGACCGAAAGTCCCATGACTTCTTCGTTGTCAATTTTCGGTGTAGCAAAAGCGCTATTCGATATACTTGGCAAGGGGACTGTTGATACGATGCCACTTGGGTATTGTACAACGATGCCCAAAGAACCATAAGATATCACAGCACTCTCGGTTGAAATAGTCGCCACCGAACCGCCGTTGACGAGGGTTGCTCTAGAGTAAACTATCGTATCTGGAGTCGACAGGGAGGGATAACCGAATCCTCTTTCACTGCATCTGGAGGGGCAATTGTACTTGCGGTTATGGCTCCTATGGAGCTTACTATCAAGTTCCCAGCTCCATTAACTGAGTACACCACCGTTTTTTCATCGTTGTCTTCTTGTGGAAGTGCTGCTATATCGCCTGCTTTGATCGTTGATCCTCCAGGAATGACGAAGCCTCCTTCGTTATTGCCGCCATTGGCAATCGGAAAGGCTAAGACGCAGTCTGTACTGATGGAAGTCACTGAAATTGCCGAGATTGGCTTGTCTTGTGCGGGCAAGGGCACGGTGTTGCTTGCGGTGATGCTGCTACCTGAAGTAGGAATTGACCTCTGCTTACTTGATTCATGAATTTGACTGGGCCTGACAGCATTCGAAGCAGGATTATTTCCCGGTTCTGAGTCCGTTGTTGCCTCCATTTTTCCATTTCCTGGGTATTTTTCGACGTTGCCTGGTAGGGGGATATGTTCTTGTTTGGGATTGTCGGATCCAAAGGTAGTATCTGAAGGATAATGCTCTGCACTGTTCGGCAGTGGTATTGTTTCTAGCTGCACGGGGTTGGTAAGTAAGAGACTTGACTTAGGTTCGACGGGATAAGGTCTTTTGGTGTACACGGGAGGTGTATTCGCCGTCGCAACTGGCTTGGCCGGTTGCATGCTGAGTGAGGGCACAGGAGATTCGGGTGTGAGATAATTCGCTGGGGCAGCTTGTAGGGCGTGTGGGGGATCTGGTGTTCCATCAGATGCCCGGGCTATGTAGCCACTCGTCCACCAAGCTTTTCCAAACTCCTTAATTATCTCCGGGACCACAATGTATGGGTTACAGCGTTGATAATTCAGCCATACATCTGAAGTCATGTTAAATAGTTCATCGGCGGAATATCGTGGGCAATTCCAAAATAGATCCGAAAGAGTAAGTTGGGCTGAAGCTAAGACAGCGTCTGGATCGGAGGTAAATTCAGGGACGACTGAAGAATATATCTCTTTATCTGCAGTTGGGAAGGTCATATCTGCTAAGTAGGTATCCTGTGCGAGCATGCTGGTGGTTGCGCTTGTGCTATGGCTTATGTTATCGCTTATGGGGTAAATTGGCCGAGTTCCATGCTTCTGCACGCTAGAAGATGGTTTGTAGGTAGTTATCTCGGTAATGTCGAACGCGTGAATAACATTACGTAGTACTGGTCCGATAGTACGAACGTCGTCGTCTGTGAAGGTGTGAGTTGATAAAGAGGAGCCCAGATGCAATCGGAATGACCAGCTCGTCTGGTCGCATTTTTGTACTGCAGATATTGCCTCCCATAACATATAAACTGATGGAGAAGTGCTGTACAATTAGCATTGTGCTTCCTCCACAGGAGTTACAGTACTCACAACGTATAATCTAGACTATTGTCATAATATGTCGAGGCGCGTGTTGTATTAGATAAATCGGCTGGTAGAAAATAATATAACTGTACGGGTCCAACATCTCTTTATAAGGGTCAGATCAGCAAGTTTTTCTCTGTGAGGTGTACTTACACCGAGACTTCGTGGTATTTGCGACAAGATGTCCCGGTAGAATTATCTTTCTCCCAACATTCGTTCTGTGGCAATGGCACTGTTTGGTTGCCTATCCAACGGGACAAGCTGTTCACGAACTTTGGATTAAAACATTCTTCGGGCTCGCCATAGATCATCGAGCCCTCGTATTGAAACTTTTCGGTATTTGGTTGAGGTGCTGGTGTGATTTCGTGATCGGTCTGGTCAATGGTACTAGAGATGGTCGACGTCAATGTCGCATCCGTTGTGCTAATGTTGGGAAAGTGAAGTTGTCTTCTGGGAAAGGCTGTTCTAGCTGGAATACAAATTAGCTAATGGCAGCGCAATATTCTATTTAGAGCAAACCTGATGCACAAGGTAAGGTGTAAATAATTAAATGTGACAATAAAACGAGAGAAACAGATTGGTTACCCATTCTCAATTCAAACTCTTTGTACTTGCAGTACAAAGAGAAAGAGCACGTAATGGAGGTTATTTGATAGCTGGAGTTGGCGACCGGAGAGGATTAATGACTGCTTCTAAATTGAGGAATTTCTCAAAGGATTTCAACTCAGATCCTGTGCCAAGTCACAAGGGAACTCCCCTAGTCATAAAAAAACCCCAAATATATTTCTCGCGGTCTTTGAGCTTGATTTCCAATTACAAAGTATGTTTCTTTGCTAGTTGTGGTGTTGTATCGCCTCAATATCACCGATGAAACCCCCACGATACGTGGTAGCTGCAGGCGTTAAAACACAATCATCGTCTTCCTGCATGTTACCATACGGCGCAGTAAAAACCCTGATTTTGGTAATCTAAAGGCAAGCCATTTTTGTGCAATTTGTCTGTCTTTCGCTAACCAAATGGCGATCACTTCTTCGGTGTATCGACTATAGAGAACACACGTAAAGCTATTGTTGCCCACAGAATATCTGATGCTGCACAATAAAGGGTTTAAAAGGAATTCTTTCGATGTAAGTAGAACCTAGAGGAGGGATTTGAAAGGTTGGCTCTCCCAGGGCCTTTGTGCGAATCTTTTGAATAATAAATCCTTCTATACCTGCAACATAACTGAGACTGCAAGTCGAGAACTTCCACCAATCAGTATCCAATTTCGACCCATTTCCCCGTATATTTGGAGGGCTATCAGTCACCCGCTACTGGCGACTCACTTTCTCAATATTCGCAAAGCCTTTCAAAGACTTATTGATCATAGAGCCAGAGGAGTGTTAAAGTTTTAATGGTCGTCAATAGATACTATTTCCCACATTATCCAAATAATCAACTTCACCAGTACCATCCGCTCGCTCTTGGGAGAATCTCGCCATTCCCAACCTCCTCTCCCCTGCAAAACGCCAATTTGAGCGAGTTCCTGCTTAGTGTGATATTGGGGGCATTCTGCCAAAAAGCGAATCGCACATGTTGCACAGAAAAGGGGGGGCTGCAGGCTGCGCCACAGCTGCTGGAACGCGCTTCAACACTATAATTGAACAGATGCAGGTTTGTAGGTAGTCATACTAGAAACAATTAGAAGCTCTGTGCATCAAAATCCTTGAAAAATCCAGTTCATTAACCTGTAAAACCTAAATCCCAAGTGAATTTGTTGTACTAGGGCGGCGAATTCTAAGGCAATCCATCTACAGAAAGGGACGGGAAGTTCCTGGAGAAGGCTGATCGAACTGGCAGTACTAGAAATTCACGTTTCCAAGGCTCTTTGAATTAGTTCTTGAGAAGCTGGACATTCGGTTTTCTTTAATAGGAGTGTCCAATCGGCGTTGCGTACGGACTCGTCCAGGTTATTCTTCTTGCTCTCCGTAGAGTACTGATTGTTGGTTGAATCTGCAGGAACAGAGGCTACTTTGAATTAGTGATATGTTGCGGACCCACTCTCCGACGAATAAGGAGGCGAGAGAGGAATCAGGGATGTACGTACTGCTGTAAATCCTCAGACGCTGTGTTTGAGAACCGGAGTCCGTCTACTTTATGATTAATGTGATATGAGAACAAGATTGTGATTGCCTTTTTAAGCTATGTTACTCGGAACAATCGATACAATTGAATTACTGTCCCAAATGAATGGCTTTGCAACGAGCCTCCTCTATCGGTGCCATTGATCGACACCCAATTGAGTTTGAGGTCAGACACCTATTTTGGTTTCTTTCATAAGTCTTTTCAATGACAGCCACCGCAAAAAACTTAAATGTATACATGAATTTTCACGAAAAGTGGCATTTTCATTTCATCTTGTATATTGGTTGGATATCATGGAAACTGTGCCAGGATATAAATAATTAACGAAAAACATATATATCCTTTCCGACCTCCCCCTGAACTCTAAGCGAGATTCAGATTCAGAGACTTTGTAGTAACGCCCAACATCAGTCTTTGACAGCTTTCTAACATACCATTATGATATCTGGAGGAGCGCTGAACTCTACGAATACGTTATCAAAATAACTCCGACAATTCCAGCGTACACCCAAACTAGTGACCTAGGCCGGATACTTCTAGAGGTGGACTCAATCACACCAGGCCCATGCAATATAGCATAGACCTCTGAACTATCACGCCCCAACCCTGTATTCAACGTCTGCGAAGGAATCGCAGCTGAAAGCTGCCCACTATTTAAGAGTGGTCTTCTGGAGACCCAGTCTTACAAAACTACTCTGCATTATGTATAATCAAGAAACGAAAAGATTCTTATGATTAGGTATCTTTCAACAGCCGAAGATATATACCAGAGATTGTTGATTATTGACAAGTTATTGACCTGATTATATAGTAATTCTCTCGAAGGAATAATATTCGCTCCTTTGTCCCGCAATGGTAGTGCCATTTCATTTAGGGAAACCGCTGTATCACTCGCCCAGAACTCTTAAGCTGGACCCCTGAATAGGCTACTGTCACTCTGCCTCGCCTTGATATCATCAACTGATATCCCTACATTGTATGATTACACACTGACTAAATGCGACACAAAGTATAGTAACACACTGACAAGCTTAAGACGAAGCCCCGTCTGCGGTGATACCATGTTCCGTGACAATGAAAGTACTCGTGCTCTTGTGAACTACCTACCTGGACATGGATAGAGAATAACCTTCTTGATACAATACGCTAACCCCCGGCTAGATGTAAATTATGTAATGATAATAACCGGCGTGAGTGATGGGCTTTGAAGAAGATATATTATGCCTATGCCCCTGCATATATATAAAAGTATATAGACACGATATTCTTTGCTGGATGCTAGTTTGTGATTGGCAATAAATTCTCCCGATACAATGATGATTGTTCAATCCTCAGGCTTTCTATAACTTGTTAAGAAAGACCAACTGGAAAAGAAATCGGTGCAAGTTGGGGGTGGCGAGTGTTCCAGTAGTAGCACAGCCAACGCATGGATCAGTGGATCTCATCGTGGAACCCCGCATAAACAAATGGAACCGCAAGTCAAAAAAGGGTTACCTACTAGTTAAATAGCCCCCAATGTGACAAGGAATATACGACTCAGTTCTAGCGGAAGTTTGGATTGGCTACTTACTTGCTCTATAGTGAACCAATTCGGTTTAGTGTGGGAAACTATAAACTCAGACCTGACTAAACGGGAATCACCTCCGTTAATGTGTGCAAATTTCCGGAGCAGTGAAATCAATGTTATTTGCATACAGATATCGAAAAAAGAGAAAGGAATAGCTATCTGAAGATTGACGAAAGTTGAGACCCAAAGTTAGCTCAAAACGATTTTCACCATGATATTCCTTCGACGTATATATGGGTCAGGACACTCATCAGTTTTGGTTGTGCTTTGAGAGTAGAGAATGAAAATGAAATATGCGGCATACTCAGTAATATATTACGAATCTTCTAAAATATTGGCATTCCACTCTGAGTCTCTGACACCTTCTTCAATTAAATGATCCGATCAATATCAATGCAAATTTGCCAAATCGCTTTATTATCATCTCATATAATGTCTTCCACTCGCTATAACCCTATTGATATTACCCCCTGAACACTATCTAGCCTGAAAATATAACCCCAAGCGCAATTACACATCCACCAAGAAAGATATTTGCGCTGAACTTCACAGCAACAGATTTCTTAGGCGGGCTGGCGTTCTCGCTTCCTCCCGAATTTTCGATTGAGGGTGGTCTTTCAGAAGAGGGACGACCTATGACAGATGATCTCGATCTGGCATTAATCATGCCATTGATCAAGCTACCTATATAAGCCTCGTTTTCTCTCGTTTGCTTACTCGTTACTCATGGCACGGGACCTCCCAATGCCCCATTTTTTCAATGCTGATACCGAGATCGTAGCTGCCGTTGAACCTCCTATGGTACTGATGACCAGTTGCCCCGACTCAGCACCTAAACCAGGTCCCGCTGAGAAAACAACCGATTTTCCCCTCCCATCAGCATCTGCCATTGTTAAGATATTCCCAGACAAAAGCGTTGAATGGTCGGGGAGTATGAAGGCAACACCTGTCTCGTTAACGAGTTCTCCATGAGGGAACGCAGAAATTACGTCGGTTCCAATGATAGCTACTGAGACAGCAGAGACGTGGTGACCGATATTCGGTTCTTTAGCTGTACCAATATTTTCGGGAGGTCTATTGACGATAGGCGGGCTTTCGTGAGTATGGACGTGAACCTTTGGAAGCGAAGTGGGCTGAGGTGAAATTTGTCCTAGAGTGTATGATGTAATTTTAGCCATGCCGGGCGCGAGAGTTGCTTGAGGCGTGGCAATTTGCGTTGGGCGTTTGTGTTCAGAGATTGGTGCAGTAGAGTAGTTAGTACAAAACCTGGGTCGTATTGGAGAGCGTATGGAGGATCGGGCATTCCAATAACTCGAAATTGTATCCGCATTTCACAATTCTTCCACCCAGCCCCATCGAACATTTCATGGGTGTGGGGTAGCATGAGGAAAGGATTACATCGGAAGTGCCTGTGGTTTTCTGCCTCGACAAGAACCTCATAGTCCCTGTCGCCTTTTTGAACAACACTGCCGTCGATTCTTGCCATCGGTGGCGTGTTCTTATTCAAAGTTGAGGGAAAATTGGAGTATAAGTCTGAGAGTGTGAGTGGTGAACGAATGGCTCCGAAATAATTTGTTTTCTGCAAATCTACAAATTGGCTCCTGAAACTCTGGTAATTCATACTGGAATTCATTGGTATCTCCACAGCTGCCTTGGTCCACATATCCGCTAATTTGAAAGGATGAATGATGTGAGATTCCGGTGTACCAATATGAGAAAATTTGATGGTGTCAAAGAATGCCAGATGTTGTTGGCCTATCTCCGCTACTCGACGTAGCCCTATCTATTAGTAGTGTTGTGCCCTGGCATGGACTCGCTGCTGTGACAGATTGCCATAACATATAAAAAGAGGGGGATGTACTAAATGTATGTTAGAATCAATAGATCTAGAAGTATTGAGATAACTGACAAGGTGAAGGAGAACTCCGGTTTGTAAAGGGTCGTGGTCGTATCAGGCGAGTTGTCCCCTGTTGTCGATGTGTGCTATGGTAACCCTCAAATCGACTATTTGATCAATACTATGGGTAATTCGTTAATTGGACCACATGATGGAATTCTCCTACTAATTGATTAATTTTTGACTTCCGAAATATTCGTTACTTTAATTAATATAAAGAGTCGATTTTTAATTAAAACATACCCCTCGCCTAGAAAGTAAATAAAGTAATCCGGTAATTAAAGTATAAAATAAAAACTCCTTGTAATTCCTCTATAGCATACCTAACTAAAAAGTGAAGCTATTCCTAAATACGATTATTTTGCCTTTGGTTTACGTCCGGCACTAACTCTCGTTACTCGTACTACTACGTCCTTTTTTAGTGAAGGCGACATGGCCGGGTATTGGGGTACTAGGAAAGTGGGGAGGGCTAGGGAATAAAGTCCTTTATATAAATTAGCTATTTTTGTAGTATTAATAGCCTATATTCCATTCCTCATTCCACGCCTACCACCCACTCGTTCCACACCATCCTAAGACACAAAAAGGGCGCATGATGGAATAGATTATCATATTTGTGACTACCATAATAGTAACCCTTAATTCTATGGTATTACGGTTACAATAGTCTAATTGATCAAAGGGTGGATTTGAGGGTTACTATAGCACAGATGGAAAGTAAAGCAACCTGAGGGCTTGAAAGTTTCTACTCAGTTGGTTATGTTAACAATCACCTCATTATAAGTTCTCGTTTTACCGCTTACACTTCACAGGACTCGCATTTATTCATATAGTAACATTTGCTATCTGATGAAGGCAATTTCTCCTTCAGGCTGTCTTTAAGGCCCGTCAAGATAGAACATTTCGTCTTTTGCCACTCAAGGAGGTTGATTCCTCGGTAGAACTTCTCTTCTGGGGTCAAATCTTATTTGATTGCGAGCTTGAATTGTAGGTGCCATTCTGAAGCGACACATCTCTATTGCTGATGAAGGAATTTCGCCCTGTTCAGTTGTAAGTTGCAATCGTCATTACCAATAGTGCTACATTTCTAAAGTCCTGAGATAGGGGTAGAATTACCTGAAACGAGGCTTACCACGTCTCCAATTACAAAAAGGCTTACGGCCAAGGAGAATTGTTTCATACTTGCAAATTTTGCATCTCCGTCGTGGTTAGGTTGCCTAAAAGCATCAAACAAGGACTGAGGTGTAAAACAAAAATATTTATATAGTATCTGGACAGCGAGTGGTCTTTTGTGCAAAAGATAAATCCAAGAAATCAAGAAGTGCGCTTTTCATCACCCTAGCTTAATCTCAGCCCCTTTAAGCAGACTGAAAACAGAAGTGGCACACAAGAATATGAGGACATTCAAGAGGGATGTTATAAAACCCCAAGGGTTAGAATCACCTTCCCCAAACCCTCCCCCCTCTATGGCTAGATCTCTTAAACCTTGCCTTTAAATAGATTAATATCACTGTCGAATAAGGGGGCAGCGCAGAAACTCATTGTAAAAGTAGTTTTAACAACCTTCTCTAATACCGTAAAGTACGTAGCTTAATAGTACAACGTTATTATCATGTCAATAGGGGTGCAACGATCGAGTTTCTTGCTTTCAATAGCAGAAGTTTCACTAGAAAAGATTTCTCACCAAACAAAACACCACAGAGCCCCCGCTAAAAGCCCTTTCTTTGAAGATAATTTTAGGTTTAAGAAACAATCTTTCTGGAGAGTGTAAAGCTTATGCGCGACGAACATACTTTTATCACGAAAGCAGTACTTGTATTCCATAATCCGAGATGAAACCGGTACCGTAATTGATCGATCGATGGCCCCCAATTGCCTCAACGGCCCCCAACCACTACAACCCAATCGTTACTCCAATCGATGACCCACTCGTATTTCGCAAGGATTATGTCGACCTGCATATGCCAGGCGAGACTCTTTCAGGCACTTCCAGGGGGATTGTACAATCTCTACCACACGCTGCGCCGCCCGGATAAACTCGATAGATGAGGAATTCAAATCCTACTAGGCGGGGACATGCCGCACTCATTTCCTGAACCTTTCTGCTCAACTTTCTACCTTCTTCCCATTCTTGTATGATCGTGGGTGAAAGCAATGAATTAAAATATGGTGTCCTAATTCAAAGTTTGGAGACATGGTTTTCCGAAAGGAGTCGTCGCGCTTTCTTATTTATCATGTTCTCTTCTTCGTTTTCTGTGCCATTGGGTGGGCAGCTGGTGATACCATCAAGAAACCCGATCCTCTTCTGGTAGAACCGAGTCAAACATTGTAAATATCCTCCCCGATACTCAAATATACATAACATCACAGAAGAACTAACACTTCCCCAAAGCGAAGGAAACGACGGACCATGGAGCACCTTCAACGCTCGCATTGGCTCGCCCCCTCAACCAGTCCGTCTCCTAGTGTCTACGGCATCGGCTCAAACAATGGTTGTACTCTCTCAAGGTTGCGACGTGAATGTTGTCGGAACATCTGGACCACCAGCATGTGCACAATTTCGTGGTCAGATGTTTAATCCTAATACTTCGACGACTTGGAATGAGCAGAGTACGTTCGCGATTAATACTAATGGGATTGGATTTGAGGCGAATTTAGGTTATAAACAGGTTGCTTTGTTTGGATTGGAGAGTTTGGGACTTGGATTGACGGGAAGTACGTTGGCAAATATGACGGTTGCGGGGTATTTGAATGCTAGACCTTTTTATATGTGGGTTTTTCTTTTCTTTTTTCTGTTTTCTAGAGGGAGGCAGGGAAAGACAAAGCAGGCAGAAAAACTTTTAGAAGAAGAATAAAGTAAGCTAACGAGTTGTGATGATAGGGGAATATTTGGACTTGGAACACAGCCTGTGAATTACTCGACCCTAGGAAATATTTCTGCGCCAAGTTACATCACAACATTGAAAGACCAAAATCTCATTCCAAATTTAGGATGGAGTTATACAGCAGGAGCTCCTTACCGTGAGTGCTATCTCAGTAGACCCAATTTGCCGCTCTTCGTTTCTCAATTATGAGCCTTCCAAGACCTCCTTCGAATATTTCATGTCACTAACATAAATCTCTCCCAGGATTAAAAAAGGTTCTTGGTCAACTCATCTTTGGAGGCTACGACACCTCCCGTCAAATCCTCAACACAGCATCCTTCGACTTAGCCCAAGACCAAGACCGGGACGTCGTAGTTTCAATCCAAGAAATCGTTGCCTACCGTGCAAACCAAACAACCCTCCTCCCCTCTCCAATCTATGCATTTATCGACTCAACCGATCCCCTAATTTGGCTTCCCGACTCCGCAATAAAGCTGTTCGAGCAAGCATTTTCACTAAAACTCGATGAAGCATCGAATCGATATCTGATAACCGAGAGTCAACACGCGGAATTAGTCGCTATGGATCCCTCAGTCACGTTCAGGATAGCGAATAGTTTGACAGGAGGGGAAGTCGTGGATATCAAGTTGCCGTATTCGGCTTTTGATTTGTGGCTTGATTGGCCATACGTTGCGAATAAGACGAGGTATTTTCCGTTGATGAGGGCGGATAATGAGACGCAGTATACGCTGGGGAGGACGTTCTTGCAAGAAGCGTGAGTTCTCCCAGACATCTACGGTTACTTTTGCCAATAAAACTGACCTTTAATACAGATACTTGACTGTAAACCACGAATACCGGAATTTCACAGTTTCACAATGTGCATGGACCGATGAGGCACTCACACCTAATATCAAATCTCTCCCATCAAAACCAAATCCCATCGACCCATCTTCAACGGTAATACCACCAGGTGGCAACACGCCCTCTAACTCAACAGAAAACTCACACAACCTCCCAACCGGAGCAATAGTAGCAGTAATAATTGGCGGCATCGTCCTCCTCCTCGTATCATCCCTTGCAATCTGGCTTCTTATCACCAGAAAACGCAAGGCAAAGCCCGTAGCAGACACAAACTCATCCCTAGACATCGACAAAGCTTCACTCCCTCCAGAACCCCCATCCGAACTAACCGGCTTCTCCAAAGCCCACGAGATAAGCGACGAAAACTCCTGCATCACAACTGCAGAACTCTCCGCTGGACAGCACTCCAACTCCTCACGGCAAGAACTGCACACCACCTCTGTTCAGCGAAGCGAGTTAGAGCATTCACGCAGGAGTGAAATAGGGGACTCTTTACACTCGCCTAGAAGCGAGTTAGAACATTCGCCCAGAAGTGAACTAGGTTCTCCAAACTCACCCAGGAGCGAATTAGAACATTCACCAAGCGAACTAGGATGCCCACATTCGCCTAGAAGCGAGCTAGAACATTCCCCTGCCTCTCAGGGCAATTCTCAGAGGAGTCTGGGCCACAATTTGAGTCCCGCGATGTTACATGGGAATTCGAGTGGGCGACTGAGTATGGTTTCTTCGTATAACGGGAGTTCGGAGGCGGTTGTGGATAACAATCACTCGACTCCTGCCAGTGCTGGGTACGGGGTAACTGGAATAGGAAGAGTATACCCGGGTGATGATGGGAGGGAGATATCGGAATTGATGGGGAGTGAGGTGCCGCTTGCGCAGTTGCCTTGAGGGGAGGTTTTAGTCTGGAGGTTTGTCTAGCTGACGACGATGGACGGGAGAAGTACTGTAAGTGCTGTGATCTGTGAGGGCTAAGGTCGAGGACATAAGGAGCAAAGTCATCAGAACGAAAGTTTGATTGTCCTTGCTATGGTTCATTCACCAACCGAGTGAACGATGGGGTTGAGTCAATCCAGTCGATGATAGGATGGCTAGTTATCCCCGAATCTCTTGTATAGAACCGGGAAAATGAGAAGGAGCACGAACTAATGGCAACTCTAAGATGAACAGGCTGTGACCAGGAATGGAAAATGTATAAATATGCCATGTAATCTGTCCGACTCGATTCCATGGATTTTTTGGACTGCTACGAATAATAAATCTACTATCGCGAAGTCTTCCTGCAATATCATAATCATGTTAGGACGACTTGTTCGTCTATTCGATTCTGAATGAACCATTTGCCCAGCAGCTCAAGACGATACCCGAAATGCTCGCATATGTGGCATATCTGTGGCTACCCACTTCGATGGAATCTAAACAAAATTAGCTCGTATATTCCAGCGTATCAGCATTTCTTCAAAACATATCTTTCACAAGCCACCGCCTTAACATTAATCATAAACCCCCTCTTCTTACCATTGTTTGGCTAACTCGTAACTTCATAAGCTCGTAAATCCATCCTCCTCGCTAAACCCTGCACTCACGTACACAGCACGGGCAAGCCAACAAGTCAGCTTGCGCCACATGCAGCACTTCCCACATCCACATCACACCTCACGGGTTTGAAGGGTGGCTGTGTACACTGATTCCCTTCGCTAATGGGTGAAGTAGGAGCTGAGATGATCTTGGCGGACGTTCCTGCAGCCTTACATGGACTGAAACGGCGCGGTTGCTAGACATGCCGTGTCTACGTGCATGGTGATATGAGATGATACCTATGCGGGCGTGTGGTGTGGTGTGGTGGTGGACTTCAGTACGTACCGTTAATATTACTACATAAGCACTGCCTACGCGGCCTCCTCCCATTTCGAAACTTGATTGTGGTTTTTCTTTATTTTCCTACCTACCAACCTTTTTCCCTTTCCTCTTCTCCCTTCTTTCGTTTTGTCGTGTCGACATTTCTGAAATCGTGAATAAATGAGAAATAAGTGAGGAAGGAGAGAAGAACAATGGTATACAGCCCCATAAGCAACGCGGCCGCCTCCCCATGGCGCAAACTCTTCCTCGTCCTCCTTTGGGTGGGACAATTAGCCTTGCTGCCACCCTACATAATCATAATCGCCATGCTGGTGGGGATAGCACGGGTCTCTGATTTGATGATCGCTCGGTACGTCTCCCTCTCCTCCCTCTTCTAGCTCTTTCCCCTCCACACCATATCCCCATATCCCCATATCCCTCCCCTCCTTTCATTATACCTACCTAACCAAACCAAAAATCCAGACTAAACATCTTCAACGTCGTCATCGAGATCATCGCCCTCTGCATCATCTGCACAGAGATCCACATGTACTCGTACTCCGAGCTCCGTCCCAAAACCTTCCTGATCTTCAATATCATCAAGTTGCTGTTCGGACTAGCGAGTTCGGGCATTGGGTTCTATGGGAGTGTGGTGTTTGATAGGACGGGAAGTGGGTTTTATACGTGGATTTATATCCTTCTTGCGACGGGGTTTTCGGTTGCGCTTTGGTGAGTGAGAAGTATTTTCCCTTTTGGTTGATGATGGGGATAGGGGACGTAGGATGATTAATGAGGGGATGGGGAGGTAAAGTGAGGTGACGGCTAACGGGAACATAGTATTTCGTTATTTGTTACTTTGATGTACTCGATCATTGTTGCAAGTCGGAGTAGGAAGAAGATGAATGGGTTGGTTAGGAAGTATGATAACGGGAGGCCGTTTGGTTGATTAGGGGATTGATGGTCGTCTTTTTGGAAGAAGCTGGCAAAATTATGTGCATAAGTGGAGTTTGGGCTTTTTCAAGGAGCGGAGTTTAGTGGAATACAGCTATTATGGCTGATGAATCATTGATATAATCGTGTAGGAGAAGCATCGTGGGAAGCTTGAAGGCTGCTTTTCCGTTTTCATCAACTCATGAATCTATAGTTTCCATGGAGGCTGATAGCCACAGGTTAAACACAGAATTCAGGTGACGATCTATGAAGAGACTGCCTCCAGACCCCTCAAATGTCCCAATCCTACCCATCAACTCAAGAAAGCAGAACCCGGATTTCACCTCCCGTCCTAGGAAAGAATGAACGAAGAGGTTCCAATTCCGCGGATACATCTTTCTCCTCCAAAAGCTCATCCGCAGTAATCAACTCTTCCTCCACCTTCTCGAAATCATCGCAGAACCTCTCTGCAGCGTTCTCAGTAATCTCCCTTGCAAGCTTAGAGCTCTGCAAATTCTTCAGATTCTCCATAGCATCCATCAAAGCCGACGGAAGGAACCCATCCAGCGATTGACTTGCCTGAGTCAAAGCCTCTGGTTGGAATGGCTCTAAATTGCGGATAGATTCAAGATCTTCAGGTGAGTCTGATAGTGATGCAAGAACTTGAAGCAGAGGCTCCAATGCAGAGTTCTTTCGGAAGAATGAATATTGATATTCCACCAGACTGGCAGCGTTACTCTGTACCATGTCCGAGATTGCTTGCACTCTTTTGTCGGTAAAATCAAATGATGCCAAAGTATTTTTGGCAGCCAATAAACAATTGATTGCGTAAATCTTGCTTTCTGGGATCTCCAGATCCTCGGAGATCGTCTTGCTTGCTTTCATGAATGGATCGAATGCTTCTGCCAATATGGGGAGAAAATCCGCCTCCCTGCTGTCAATCGAGGTGAAAGAGGTCTCATATGTTTTCATGATCGATGTGAGTTGTTTCAAACCTTCTTGCAAGAATTCAGGTGGGCCAAGATCGGCAGGAGGAACTTGGTTATCCGTTTGAATACCGGCCACATGATCTCTGACTAAGTCTCGGAACTGATGCAAGGCAGATTTCTCGAGGGTTTTGAGAGATCCAAGTAAAATCGAGTTTTCTCCAAGAAGCTTCGAAAACGTAGCTCGGTAGAAATTGAGGAGATTCGCAATTTTGTAGGCCATTATAGTCTCTTCGTGACTTTGTATGACTTGTCCAAGTCTTTGGCGAAGTACTTTTGCAACACCAGCAACATCACGGTCAACAAGATCATTCAACGCTTTGAGCGCATCAAACTCGCTCTTGCCATCCTCATCCACTGCGATCCTGCTCCAAGGCTCATTTTCTCTGCCGGCTTGGATACCTTTCGCAATTTCGTTACCGTCGGAAATGAAAAGAACTTCGAGTGCTTCTCTTTCGCTGACTGTCGCTGAATGAGTCCATGCAAGCATGTCTCCGACATATCGTAACGGGTCATGAGCTCCCAGTTCGATGGGTTTCACAGAAGCATCTTCTTCTCCACCCACAGTTCTCCCGGTAAGAGCAGTGTAAAATGCATCGCTTAGCACGTTCTCCCGAGCCTCAGCAAAGGCATCTAGACAGCTTTGAAAAAGGGATGGTCGTTCTGCCAATACTCTGAGAGCTCGACGTATGGAGGAGCTGATCTGTGGATTTTCTAGGTTGAGAGTTTTGAACTCGCGTTGAATCCACCTAAACAACTTTTGGAATCCGCTGTTGACATTTTTGGAAGTCTGCTCCATGATTTCCAGACCGAGACGTTGATTCTCTGTCCCCAATAAAATCTCGCAATCATTCTGGATCTTCTTGGCTCGTGCTAAAATTGAAAAGAATTTGTCATCGACTGGTTCGGCAGTGGATGTCAAGATTGCGATATCATCCTCTGACATCACGAAATGGGCGTTGAAGGCTGTCAGAAGCTGCTGTTTTCTTTCCACTTGAGATTTTTTATTCATCAGCTCTAACGCTTCCTCGAGCACCGGCGCGGTTTCCTGATGAGCCGATGAAATATGCCGCTTCATCTCTTCGCAACCCTGATTTAGACTGGCTATAGTAAGTCCGATACGTTTAAGTTGCTACCACGTACAAGTCAATATTCATGTTCCCAAATTCCGGGAACCCTCAGCGCACCTCGGCAACGTGGCCAAATTCTCGTATGATATCGCCATTGCTTTGGATGACTTCTTTTTGAACATCTGATCTCAACTGCCGACGAGTTTCAGCATTATTTTCCACACCGCGTTTGTCAAGAAGGTCCAGCGCATCCCGAATATCCGAATCTGCGTAGGATGCAGAGAGGACACTGGTGACTTTAGTTGAGAGAGGATTGCTTCTCAGAGCTTGTGAACTTGATGGCGATGTGGGAGTCTCATTACTTTCACTCAGACCTGAAAGCCTTCGTGAACGATAGTAATCAGTTGTCATTTGTGCAAAGTTGATAAGTGTTTACCCGTTGTGACTGTGGGAAGCAACCAATTTGACAATGCCATGTCTGAGCCTCAGGCGGGATACTGCCAAGCCTTTGTGTTGCCCTCGTTGAACAGAGCACAAGGCTGAGGCTGAGGCTGAGATAACAAGGGTCCATCTTTGATCGCCTACAGCCTTGCTATCAGTGAGGAGAGTCATACGGCTATCGCGCATGGTCAGTCTGCTTGTAACTGCCCATCTTCACCCTCAAGCACCAGGCATCAGCAACATTCAGATGACCTTGACCTTGGACTTTGTAACGACATGCCATGAAACGATATGACCGTGATTCACTACGGGAATGGTAATGCTCGTGCCTGCAAATTACAACCTGAACCTCCCTGAATGTTCTTGCTTTGATAAACAGAACTCGTCTTGGGAACTGCCTCCCCTCCTCCTCTGCCACCACAACCACCGACCCTCCCAACCTTGCACATCCACCCTACACAAGGTGTAGCTGCTGCTGCTACAGCTACTTCTAGTCCCACAGACCGGCTACAATATGATGCGATCAAACCTATTCTCCCGACTCCTACCCAATCCCAACCACCGATCCATATACGAAGAACTCCGAGCTGAGGAAGATTTAGAGGATCAACGAGGTCTGGATTTAGATGAAGAGAATTTGAGGTTCCATGACGATCAACTCGGGGGCGACCATGATCTTTTCAACGGTGACGACAGTACAACTGAGGATACAGCATTCTTGGGTGGCGGACGAAACCTTTCACGGGGGAGTGCAGGGGACAACAAAGATGGGCTAAGCGCTATGAATTTGGTGCCGCAGTCACCAAGACTGCTTGAAGACGATGGAGATGATGATGTACCTCAATCTCTCTTAATCGAGGCCACTCCCATGGCCGGTCCTAGTGTACCACCCCATTCAAGACCTCGACCCACCAAGAACAAACGGCAACCCCCAATACCAGGCCCGGCAAGTAGAGAAAATCGAGCCCATTGGGAAGCAGCTCTAGCTCAGCAACAAATCCATCAAGAAAGAAGTAGAAATGAGCAGCGTGAGACAGAACAACCACCCCGAGGAAGGTTGTTTACCGGAAGTGAAAAACAAAAGGCATTGTGGAGATGGAGCCAAGTCACAGATATCGATGGGTTTATACATGAAGTCTATGACTACTATTTGGGCTGTGGTTTTTCGTGTATCATACTCAAATCAAGTCTGAATATTTTGTAAGTTGGATGGATCTCTTGGTTCCGGGTACGAATTAACTGACATTCCAACCAAGGCGGCAAATATTTATGGCTTGTCTATTCATCCTTCTCACCCAATGTATTGACTACACAAAGTTCCGTGAAAAGAGGAAATTATCAGAAGTCATTATACCGAATTGGAGAACGAAAATGTCAACAACAGCCAATGTCTTCATTTGGGTATTCGCGTTGGCCCTTTTTTTCCAGGTCTACAAGCTTCTCACCTACTCGATTCCTAGAATGAAACGTACACGAGACTTTTACACCCACCTGCTCGGTATTCAAGAATTCCACATGCAGACTGTCACATGGCAAGATGTTGTTGCTCGTATTATGGCTATGCGAGATGCAAATCCAACATTGGCAGGAAACATAATTACACCAAACATTAAATATATGGATAGGGGATCAAAACAGAGACTCGATGCTCATGATATCGCCAATCGACTTATGAGAAGAGAGAATTACTTGATTGCTATGTTTAACAAGGAAGTCTTGGACTTGAACATAGCAGGACATACACTCTTCTCACGGCATTTGTTGTTCAATTTGGACATGGCTATTATGGACTACATCTTTACTCGCCATGGGCAAATCTCGCAGGTTGTACTGACGCCCAAGAAACGAAAGGAACTTAGCGACGGGCTCAAGAGACGTTTCGCCCTGATAGGTTTGGGTAACGCAATACTTGCACCTGGACTTGTTTTATTCTACTCAATCCTTTTTTTCTTGCGTTACTTCAATGTAAGTGGATATCCCGTGGAAAATTTCTCGCATTTCGGCTAACAATTGAAAAGGAATTTCAACAAAAGCCCTCTTCTATAGGTCAACGATCATATACACCCTTGGCGGAGTGGAAATTTCGAGAGTTTAATGAACTTCAGCATATTTTCGAAGAGCGAATTAAGATGTCTCGTCCATATGCGACTCATTATCTTGATCAATTTCCGAAAGTCAAAACGATACATCTGGCAACGTTTCTAACCTTCATTAGCGGCGCAATTCTTGCCGTTCTTGGTGTTGCAGCATTGTGGCATTCTGAATTGTTTTTAGAGTTTGAGATTATACCCAATGTCAACGGTGCCATCTGTATCGCAATAGTCGGAGCCATATGGAAGATGTCAAGTGGCACCGTACCAGAACCCGATTCGGTCTTCGACCCCGCTTACGCGATGCAAAATGTGATCAGTTACACCCATTACAAACCACCCGACTGGGAAGGAAGACTCGAAACCGAGGCCGTGCAACTAGAGTTTGCCAGTCTCTATAAAACCAAGATCATGCTATTTCTCAGCGAAATGCTTTGCATCATCGCAACACCATATATCCTCTACTTCAACCTCCCAAATTGCAGCGACCGCATCATCGACTTCTTCCGTGAGTTTACGGTTGATATCGATGGCATCGGTTATGTCTGTTCCTTTGCAGTCTTTGACTTCAAAATGAAAGACGGACGGAAAGCGAATCCCGGCCCAGCAGGCGCCGCTGATCCAAGAGGAGACTACTATTCCACCAAACAGGGGAAAATGACGGCTTCTTATTACGGCTTCATCGATAACTATATCCATAATCCCAAGTCCGGATTACCAGGCCATATGCCTCCCAATATGCGGACACCTTTTAATCCCCCGCCCTCATTCCCGGGTATGATGTCCCCGACTTTTAATCCTGGGATGCAGAGTTCTGCCGCGGGCGTTAATGAGAGACGAACTGGGGCGAGAGGACCAGCGGGTTTAGCACACGCTGGGAGAACACCACGATTTGCACCTGCTGGTGCCCAGGGGTCTCCGATGACCTCCATACTCCTTGATCCGCACCATCAACCTTCATCTTCGGGTTTCGGTGGTGGAGCACGAAGCACCCATCGTCCCTCCCGTTCGCGATATCAAGCTGGTGCTCGGAGTAACATCGAGGAACAGACGGAGGATGAAGACGAGCGAATAACCAGACGACGAGTATCGAAGAAGGGCAAGAATGCGAATGAGGGCTTCGTGGATGAGAGCGTTGCTGGTTTGGGAGAGTCGAGATGGGAGACTAGTCCAGTGAGAGGCTTGACTGGTGATGGGGATGAAGAGGAAGACGTGGATAACGGAGGTGTTTTGGGGCTTTTGCAGCAGCTTCAGCAGAGAGCTGGGGCGCTGGGAGGAGATGGGAGGGTGATTTAGTGGGATTGAGGTGAGAGGTGGGTGTGAATAGTAGGGTTAGAGTAGCATTTGGGTAAGTAAGACATTTGCACTGAGATATTGTGTTCTTCTTTCTTTGTTTGATGGTCGCGTTGGGACAAGACAAGAGGGAACGGTGTGACAATAGATGCGAAAGAGACAGTCTTGTTAGGCGTTTGGGTTCGAGGTTCATTCGGTCGGTTGGTTTATATTACGGAGTAAGATAAATCATGGGGTATGAGGTACGAGGTATAAGAATGAGAATGAGAATGGGAATGAGAATGCATTTTAGATTTGGGCGGTTAGTTGGGAGTTAAATATGAATACGGATATGAATACAAACACAGCATATGAACTCCAACACCCTACTACACTCATCGTAGATCGGATCTCCCATACCTGGATTTAAGTATTCGGGAAATCAACCCGTGATTTCAACTTTGAATGCTTCTGGGCAGCGAAAAAGATTAGTAGAGTAGAGTCGAGTAGGAGCACCTAGTCAACCCTACTTAAGTAGGGCTTAGCCCTACTCTAACCGACTCGCCAAGAGTTTAGTAGGTTAGAGTACTACTTAAGTAGTACGGAGTAACTCGGACCGAGGCTCCGTAGCGCGCCCAGAGGTTCCGGCTTGTCGGTCCACCTATTCGGACTTAGCCGACTACCCCTATTCTAAGTATAAGCGAATAGCGGTAGCTATACTGTTTTATATCTATTTTGGCTAGAAGAACTTTACAAATATCTACTAAAAGTACGGCTAGCGAGCGGCTCTTTAGCTAAGGAGCTAATATTATTACTTGTAACAGGAACAGGTTATCTAAGGAGTCTTTAGAAATAATAATAAGTCTTACAAGCTAGGGTTATTACGCGGAAAAGGAGGCAGAAGAGTAAATAACAGGGCTACTATTCGAGGATAATTACTTTATACTTAAGTCACTCTGTATAGTAAAACTACTTGAGTATTACTCAAGTAGTCGAATCTACTACTCTAACCTACTCAACTCAACCACCTACTCAAACCTATTCAAACCTAATTAAGTACTGTATAACCCGGATATACTTAAGTAGTCGAGTAGTTCTTTCTTTCGCTGCTTCTGGGGTCGCAAAGGCATGGTGTAGAGTGAGATTCCACCAAGGACAATGCGGTTATGATATGTAGTAACAGTCATCGTAAGAGATGAGTAGAACTGTAGAATAGAGAAGGTACTACTCTTCTTTATCTTAATCGAGTACTTGATTCTTCCTTTCTTCCCTCCTTTCTTTCTTTCTTTCTTTCTTTCTTTCTTTCTTTCTTACCCTAGCAGTAGTAAAATAGCCGGATTTCGCCTCTCCATCTCTATCTCCTCTATCTTACTAACAACTCAACCGTTAAATTATAACTTGTCCCGAGGTACAGTAAGAATTAAGTACTATACTGGTAATTCTTATAAGTAAGCGTGTTGCGAAATTACGAAATTACGTGGTTTTTCTAAATCTGCAGCTGATTGTAGGGGTTTTGGAACGTAGTTAGTTGAGTAATCGAATATTGGGTTCGCTTAGATTGAGGGGAGCTGGTTTGGACCCCTCAGGGACCCTTTCTTCTCATCTCCTCTGTTGGAAGTTGTTTCTATAGGTTAAGTGTGGAAGTTAGTTAGCGTATGTGATAATTTTGGATGGTGGGTGGAGAGGTGAGTTAACATCTGATAGTAGTATTTCTATTTTTAATGTGGTATATTTGTAGAGGCTTCCCTCTTTTCGTTTTATTCTGTTTACTTACATTGGTTCGCAGAATCTTTCCGGTTTTGAGTAAGAAATTAGATTAGGATCAAGATCTGAATTGGGAATCAGTTATATCTATACCTGGCCTGGTATTTTATAGGAAATCGTGACAGCCAGCGATCGACAAATGGAACGCATTCCATGGAATTTCATAGATTCTATTCTATCTGGAATAATTCTAGAGTACCTGTCTAATAGAATGGAATACGTCGATTAATCAGTCTCTGGAATTCCATGGAAAAATAGAATTCCAGACTAGTGAAAACACGTGATCATAGGAGCTACTGTACGGTATATAGCCCTGGAGAGTTAAGTAAATAGCTAGGAACTCAGGAAGAAATAGTAGTACCTAATACGTTCCTTTATAATAGACTCTAGAAGTATTTACGATACTTGTACTTGTAGGGATATTTATATAATATAACTTATTATCTAACTATTTAATATAAATAGGGCCCTAGGCTCCTAGAGACTTCCTATTAGTCGACGGGTTATATAATAAATTCTAGCTGGGAATTCTATATATTCCATAGAATATATACCTCTAGCATGGAATCCTTTTAGAAATATACTAAATAGAATAGAATTCTTCTAGAGGGGGTATCTGGAATTGAATAGAATTCCAGTTGCCGAACGCTGGTGACAGCTTTCTAGAGTACTGTACTGTAATTAAGTAGGTAGGTACTGTATGAAACGCGTTACAACTTCGCTTGAGCCCCTGGTTTATCCGGGTTCGACAGTTTACACGGTTTATATAAGTTATACGCTACAATAACACCCACAAATTTACTTGGCCATCATTTCTCTCCTCTTCTCTTCTCTTCTCTTCTTTACCCCACGCCATCATACCAGTTATACAAAAGAAACCCCTCTACAATAAATTCCAATCATCTCCTCTTACTACTCCACACTCACACACGCCACGTCTCCTCGCATCTGCAATACCTAACGTAAGTAAGATCCACCCACGCACGGCCACACACAGACCTATATCCTCATCAAACATCATCTCCCCATAGCCATCTGATAAGCAAAAAAAAACCGCCAAGCCCATCCCGAGCCTCCCCCGTCAAAAAAAAACTCAAAGAAAAATTGAAATCTCTGCATCAGATTAGATTAGATTAGATCCTTTTCTTGTTTTTCCTTGTTTCTTTGCAGGGGGGGGGGTTTCGGGTTTGTTCCGATTGGATCGCATCGGTGCGGTTGACGGGTTGATGTCGGGGAGCTGTAAAGAGATGAAGGATGTACGAGTACGATTTGTCATTCATTCATTAGGTACGTGACCTGGCTTGCCTCAGCCTGGGCAGTAGTTGTAGTCCGCTTTTATAAAGTTTTGAATGCCTAGGATAGGATAGGATAGTGGCCGGCAGTGGGAGGATTTTATACGTGGTGAGTTTTACTACTGTAGACATGGGTGGGAGTTGCATAAAATAACCTAGAAGAGGTATGCGTATAAAAGAAAGAAAGGAAGGAGGGAAATGTGGAGGGAGACTGTATAGGTGGATTGGAGGGGGTTCATGTCCATTTATAGATAGAACAGGGGGAATTTAATATTTTCACGGGGTTAATATTTTGAGATATTTTCACTGTACCTGTACTGCATGAAGAAGTTCAAATTTGGGGAACTGGGTGGTTTTATTGACTACCGAAAAACCTTGATGGGGAATTATCAAGTGTAAAGAGATGGGATGAGATGAGGAAAAAGGAGACCTTGAAAAGCGTAAGCGATATATTCGTTTGAATGATAGCGACTCACTTACCATCTCTTAAAATGCCCTCCTAGGATTCCGTCCCAAAGGCGTCTCAGAGACTACACCGGGACGGTACGACGTATGCGAAGCCGGTCGATAGGAGTGAACCCCACTATCAACGGTCGCTCGTACCTGTGATTGGTGAGAGGATTCAGGTTCAGACGAGTCTGCTACATCCAATGAGTCTTTCCGAGCAGAAGGAGCGTCCTGGGGAGCATGAGCAGTATGAACCCCGCTTCGTGCTAGGACAGGAACGACTTCTTCCATCTCAATCTCCTCAACTTTACGCCCCAGAGCAGTGAGTCTCCCATTCATCTCCTCTTCAGGAGAGCTTTCCGAAAGCCAATACGGTTTCGGCTCCGGTTCAGGTTTCTTTGGCACGAAGAAAGAGGTCCGGTTCTTGGGTATCTTTCCGGGGACGAGTGTTCGGGGCTCTCTGGCCGGGTAGATAACTTTGGCTCGACCTTCTTCCATGGTGCGTAGTTCGGAATCTAGACCTGCTCGTTCTTTGCCGCGTTCAACAGCAGCGGCAAAGACTGGATTGATACGTTTCTCGGCACTTGCCATCTCTTTCTCGAGCCCTTCTTGCGAGAGTCGTTGTTGACGAGTCTCGAAGTAGCGAGAGAGGAAGTGGTAGGCGACGTGTAAACCGAGGAGAAAGAGAAGAGAGATGGGGATACCTATAGCTAGGGCAAGCACATTGATGTGAGTTTCGGAAGGAGTTTCGTTGCGCGGTAGAAGGGGGGTTAGTTCGGGAGTTGGAAAGTGAGGGTTTATTGCTGCTGTGAGCCTTGTAAAGGATGTTGAGTATTTCATTTTGGTGACTTCTGCTGTTACTTCGAGTCGCTCACCGTTGGTAGATATACATCTGATAGAATTCCTTGTGGTGGAAATTAGTGTTGGTTATATTTCAGTGATAAAGGGTTGTTGTGAGAGGTGAACAGTAGAGAATAGGCGAGAGTGTCTTGGGCATTGTTGAATTTCTTTGTCTGAGGGACATTGTCTTTGGGTTACTCTTTCCTTTCTCAAGGCTGCAAATTATGTTAGCAGACCCATTGTTTTGATGTGCTGTACCTTTCATATCCGGTTTTCTCATGTCTCAACGGAAAGGGACAGGCAAGGAAGTAAACCTTAGGGGGTAGACGAAGTAAGCGAGCAAACGACCACGGACCGAGCCGAGAATTAGATCGGAGTTTCTTTTGGCTACCAGAAGAACATGAAACTTTCGCAATGGCATGTCCTAAGTTTTTGTCCGAGAGCATTTGGCAGCTTCATCGGATTTCTGCTTTATCTGAGTTTCAGCAGTCGCCCAGGCAGATGTGTGATGAGGGTTTTGGCAGACAAGGCAAACTCACAATGCGGTAGCATTTCTCGGATGTTACCGATGTTACCTGCCTATGATAGAATAGAAGCACATTTGAAATGACTCCAACCCACAGACTCTTGGTTCGTACCTGCATCATTCAAAGTAGAATTCGAACACGTTCTTTCAATCCATTCTCCCCAAAAGGTACCTTCCCCAGACCATGGTAAGTTGGTTCATTGGTAGCTTCTTGCGTGACACGAAACCAAAAAGCACACCACCTACTGGAAAAAGAACCCAAGTCCGTCGATCGACATCCACCCCGCAGAGGCAGGTAATGTATTTCTTGCATTTGCAGATCTCGATATCCAGGGTGATCTAATCCGTGTCCTTGGGGATGGGATTGTGAAATGGTGGTTGTGAGGGCATAGTGGCATCAGTTTGGGGGTATCTCGTACGATGGATACTGTCATCTTACTTGTGCATGTGGGTATTGATTTGGTGCAGGACGATGACGATTTCCCGAGGAAGCCCAGCTCCAGGTCACCGGTGTGCTGGGCAGCGGATTGGGCTGGGGCTGACTGAGTGCGTTGCGGTAGTTGTACAACACCCTGGAAAGGCTGGATGTTTTCCGAGGAGCCCGGGGATTTCTTGGAAGCTGTTCAGTAGGAGAGCGAGAGCGAGACCGGCGATGGGGATTTTGGGATATTCCGAATATCTCTTGCGAGGGCAAATGTGTTCTTTCGGTGGTGGAATATTCTCGGTTGATAGTGTAGACGAGCCTAGGGGAGAAGCTGCGTAGAATACCGATACCCGTAGAAGTAGACTGACATTCCATAGACACAAGGACCAACGTCAGTTTGACAATACTCAATACTGTACGGATTACTTCTAGAAATTGCAATGCATGGCTCTTGTTCTATACACCGTGGCAGCATTGGCGTATAGGTAAATGTAGGTGTAGCTAGCTGTAAGTGGGCCGAGCCGGAGCTTTGATGCGAGGGGACCGAATTCGAAGCTGCTACCAGCCTTGTCCCACTGCCTATTCTTTGCCCTCGCCTGCGTGCATAGGTATGCTTTGATAGAGGGGAAAAGTACAGAAAACTGCAGAAAAATGCAGCAATACATTTCTAGAAATTCAAAGATAGTACTCCGCAGATTTCTATACCAACCAAATACTTAGGTACTCTCTTGTCGTTTGATCCGTGAATCAGCATAAATCCGTGGAGAAGCGATGAAAGGAACCAGCGGCATCCCGGCCAGCAACACCCCGTCCACCACCACCACCACTACCGCCCCCAAAAACATCCCTGCAACGCCAATGGAAACATCCCAGACCACAGCTTTGTTCTCATCACCACTTTTTATCCGCCGCCCGTCTGCTCCTCCCAGAACTTTTGCTGCCACTCTCACTCTCATTCTCACCCTCACCAACACCACCCCTTCTCACAGCAACACCAACCCAACTATCCACGCAAATCGCCCAAAGTGCCCCCTCACTCGTCCCCCTCGACTTGCGCCAGCATCGCTCCGCCACATCGCATTCTACAATTTCCATTCCACAACTGCTCCCCCCCCCCCCA